ACCTGGGTGATTCCCCCCCCCCCCTTGATTACTTAGCCATTTAAATGTAATTAACTTTCAACGCTATTTCTCTCACTTTACATTAAACGTTTGGCGGTTACAGCCTCGTTCTGACAGCCGATGCTTTTCCCTTAAACCTAAGTAACAAAAAAAATATATATTCATCTCTTCAAGACATGGATATTTTAAAATCAAGTTATAAATAGCTCTTTACTTGAAACTCAACATCCGGTATAGATACGGCCGCGGGATTTTTTCAAGGAAACACCACACCATGTGCCGTCATTAATCAACATGTGTGCTCAGTTAATTAGCCAGTCAATATTTTTGTCATTAATCAGTGACTTTTTTTTTTCAAAACTGCTGCAAGTCTTATAGGCAGACGTTGGAAATTTCACAGTAAAAATGTCAGGTGCTACATTCCATGACGTCTTTGGCGTCTGATACTGAATACATTGACGCTTTAAATGTGGTGGCACTTGGTATAGAAATGTTGAAAACAGATAGTTTTAATTTTTTTTAAAAACTTAATCGCAGGTAAACAGATCAACTGAAGGGAACGATTAGCCAAACTAATAAACTTAATTAACTTAATTAGGAAGTAGCTTGTGTTTCTATCGCAGACATTCGTCAGAAAAATTAGGTTGATTAAACATCAAGCCACTGGTGTTAATTAAAGTTTGGGACTTTACCCAACACAGTAACAGGGATGTGACTTTTCCGAATTTTAGCGGAAATCCGATTTTTCCGTTTCAGTTGCGATTTTCCTCCGCTGATTTAATTTTCTCCGAATTTTTCCGCCGACTTTCAATTTTTGTCGATTTTTTTACGAAGTTTTAAAAATTAGGGAAAAAAAAACGGAAATGTCTTCTACGGAAAGGGCCGACATGCTCATTTCACTTATTCGTATTTAAATTTAAATCGACAAGTACTGTACTTAGGTCAAACGGACACGCGAATATGCGCATTTCTTTTCGATTGGTCGATTGCGCTAGGTCTGACGGTGCTAGATCAAGATTAAATGTAGATTCGGAATTTCGGCGGACTTTCGAATTTTTCAAAGTACACTTTTTTAGTCCAAATTTTCCGCTGATATTTTCAGTTAACTATTTAACAAAAACACAGAAAAGGTAATCTAAAATAATGCAGTTATTCAATTAAAACTTACATCTCTTAAGCCTGGTAATCTAGCTATCGATATAGCCTAATTTACCTATCGGTATTTTAACCCGCCTAAATCTAGAGTTTCTCTCTGATTCTATTTTATTTCGCAATCTCAAATTAATAACTTAATACTGAAATCCTTGCAAAAGGTGGCTATGAGGACTAGACTAACCCGCCCCACCTCGTAGTAACGGTGGCTCTTGTGACCTCACCTTGACCCCAAGTACGTGTTCGGTACTGCTTGTGGGGGAAAAAATGACGTCACAGTCAATTTCAAATAGCTGTTCCTGCAATACGTATGTTTCGTAGGCCTACAGATTAAAAAAAAAATTAAAATTATAAACTCAACGTGACTGCGACCGTGTCTTGTTTGAGGAAGAAAAAATACGTACAGACTGTTTTTAAATTTTTAGTAAGGGATCTTCCATAAATAACGTCACACTCGTAAGATAGTGTAACGTCATATTTTAATATTTTTGTATTTTAAAAAAGTAATGTTAGAAACAACTGCATTTTAGCCGCTATTACGCGTTTTGGAAAACTGTTGTAAAACATTGTAGATCTAATAGAAATTGAATAAAACACCCTTTGTTGGTCGACCCTCAGTCAATATTTTAGAAAAAAATCGGTTTAAAAAAAAATTCAATTCGAGGAGGGGGGTGGAGGAGCATTTGTTGGCTGAGGTGTGACGTCATTATGGGGGTGGGGGAGTCTGGATTTTGTAGGAGAGAGGGGAGGTAAATATCGTCAAAAAAAACGTGGATGACCCCTAACAATTTACAGCTATTCCAAAAAAACATAAATATCGATGTGGCTTGGTTATCATTATGATTAACTTTGGTTCACACGTCAGACCCTTTCTAATTTTAGCTAACCTGATCCATTTAATTTTTCCATCACATGAACCTAATACTTTCAAATTGTAACTAATCTTAATCTAGGCTCTTTACAGATGAAGACAAATATTTTTACCAATCCAATCTTTAAAAGAATATATATTAGGCATTAGGCCTCCTATTTAAAAATTGAAAACAGGAGTACATTTAGAATCTACACTAGATTAGTACCGTTTAAATTAGCTTAATGGTAAAATAAAACTTAATTGCTACTTTTGTTACATTGTAATTTTAAAAAAGTTGTTTATAAGGTAAACATTAAATTGCAATTAGACAAGACTTTCAATGTTATTTTAAAGTAACATAAACTTCTTGTATTTAAAATATTAACTTCATTAAACAATTAATTAGTACAGTAACAGTATGAAGCTGCTTAACCGCGATAAAAAGTAGAAAAAACATATTGAGATATTATACGAAGAAAATTTCCTAATTTTTTTTCCTGGTCTGGTCACATCCCTGACAGTATCAAACTGTTGGCCAAATGTAACTGTATTTAGTGAAACCCAGTATAATTTAGACGGACATACAGTAGGAAAGTGTGGCTGTTTTTGGTCATCTGAACATATCAGCCAGCAAATAGTGTGTGTTTTTGTGTGTGCGTGTGTGTGTAGTAGTAGAAGTAGTAGCAGTAGCAGTAGTAGTAATAGTACTACTACTAATACTACTACTACTACTTCTACTACTACTACTACTTCTACTACTACTACTACTTCTACTACTACTACTACTTCTACTACTAATACTACTACTACTACTTCTACTACTACTACTACTTCTACTACTACTACTACTTCTACTACTACTACTACTTCTACTACTACTACTACTTCTACTACTACTACTACTTCTACTACTACTACTACTACTTCTACTACTACTACTACTTCTACTACTACTACTACTTCTACTACTACTACTACTTCTACTACTAATACTACTACTACTACTTCTACTACTACTACTACTTCTACTACTACTACTACTTCTACTACTACTACTACTTCTACTACTACTACTACTTCTACTACTACTACTACTTCTACTACTAATACTACTACTACTACTTCTACTACTACTACTACTTCTACTACTAATACTACTACTACTACTTCTACTACTACTACTACTTCTACTACTACTACTACTTCTACTACTACTACTACTTCTACTACTACTACTACTTCTACTACTACTACTACTTCTACTACTACTAGTACTAGTAGCGTCACAGAGCGGGAAGGGGAAGGTGGGGGTATGCTGTCTGTCATGCAATTGACGAGTGACATCATAAATCACTCACAACAACATACGATTCAACATACAGTTCAAATCATGAAATGACAGGTATGGAAGAGATCCCATGATGAACATGTCCCTGTGCCCTGGGTGGAAGGGATCCCTAGATGAACATGTCACTGTATCCTGTGTTATCTGTCTCGAAAGCGATACATCTGGTGTACCGGTTGCTCTCACCTCTCCCACCTCTCCCACGACCTCCACCCCCACACCTCACAGTAACCCGATAGTCGGGCTACACCCACAGCTGGGAGGTTCAAATCTGCAAGGAACGTGATGACCCGACTGTTTCTTTTCATAGGGGTGTGTGTGTGTGTGGGGGGGGGGGGGGGTGCAAATTACTAGCACCACTTTCACACCGACTGTACTTTATAAACTTGCCATGTTACTTTTTTTTTTTAAATGTCGGCACCATAACACAGTACAATGACACAGCTAATACACTAAGAAGACATCAGCTGTCCAAAATACACAGCTATGTCGTGGGCCCCAGTAGTGCTTTCCTCAATACACAGCTATATCGTGGGCCCCAGTAGAGTGCTATTATGGAGGCCCCAGTACTGCTAAGAGCGGGGCCCATATTTCTGTCTGACCTAACATAGTGGACATAGATCTTGAAGCAGACGATACATTCCAGTCTAGATATCAGTTCAAACATTCCAGACAGTTCGATTCATAAATCAGCCAATCAGCACACAGCCGGGGAGGGGGGGGGGTATCGTTCTCAAATCTAGGTCACACTGTTGTACCTCTGTGGGATTATGCACTTGATAAAATCTGTTGTGGTTGTTGGGGCACGCCTAATGTCCCCCTATTCCAGATAGTTCCATCCAAACCTCTCTACTGAACTGACTGCAGAAGATTCTCTTGTCTGACCGTCATAACGGTGATTTCAACACGAATTCACAGTTCGCTGACTCTCGGCGCATATCCTACTTCTCTCACTCTCTATTGTTCTGTATTGTAAGAAAAAAAAGTTCGTTTTTAAAAATGCGTGCCGGTAGCTGAATTTTTGTTGCTTGATAAGTACACTTGATATTCCTTGTAGGTATTAATAAGTTTTACACGAACATAAAGTGGCGTTCCGGGCGTATCATCCCCCCTCCCCCTTCCCCACCTATCCTAGTCACACTATTTCATTTACGTTGAATACAATAGTCAATGTGATCCTGGGTGGTTTTTTGTTAAGGCTGTTCAGTGATAATTAATGGCAGTGACACCTGACCGCAATGACAACTGACCACAGCGACAACTGTCCACAGCGACAACTACCACAGCGACAACTGACCACAGTAACAACTGACCACAGCGACAACTGACCACATTGGCACCTAACCACCCAGTTCCATAAAAGCGGATATTTATTTATTTTTTTAATACGAAAATTAGGCTAGTTGTTTTAAACGGAGGTTAGGTAAAGATATTATTAGACATTATGCAATAGAATTGTGTTCTGTAATTCGACACACGGGGCAATCGGCAATCATGACACAACAACACTAATTATCGTGAGCACACACAGCAAAAAATAAAAATAAAAAAAAAATAAAACCAGCCCTACGATTATAAATTGTTATATTATCTGTATTATATTTGCCCTGAATGCATGTGTAACCAGCTTGTGTTTCTTTCAATCCCCAGACCTTAACGGCCTCTTCCCTGTCGTGTTCAACCTCGCCACACGGGCTAAAATAACCTCCAACGCCACATGTGGCGAGAGCCGGTCTGAGGTGTTCTGTAAGCTGGTGGAGCACGTCCGGATATTTCCGGCAGAGAACCGGCACTGCGACATCTGTGATGCTAGGAGTGACAACCCCGCCCAGAGGCACCCCATCACCCACGCCATAGACGGGAGCAACAGGTGGTGGCAGAGCCCCACGCTGACCAATGGACCGGAGTTTAATCACGTGACCATAACACTGGATTTGGGACAGGTAAAATTTGTTTGAGTCACGTGACCTGTGGCCACTTAGGTGATGACCACTGGTCATCGCTGAGCCGGGGTTTAGGTCTGTGCAGAGGCGTATCCAGGTTTTCGTTGTAGGGGGAGCGAAAAGAGCAAAAAAAGGCGCCGAATTTTTAACACGTTCTATATACGTGAATTATATATATATATATATATATATATATATATATATATATATATATATATATATATATATATATATATATATATATATATATATATATATATATATATAATTACTATCTGTATGTCATTACTTCGCTATGATGTAAAAAAAAAAATTGAAAGTATCACTCAGAAGAAATAAGAAAAAACACACAATGTAGGCCGACAAAACAAAAAGAAATATACACACTACAACCAAAAACAATGATCGTACACAATCTGTTTTGTAATTCTTGTAAAAAAATTATTTTACATAATAATTCCTAGGAAATTATTTAAGACAAGTGAAATAGGGGAAATAATCACTCCCTTAATATAAATATGTATATATCTACACATTTAATTATAAATGGCAAAACAAATAAATAATTCCTTTAGAATATAATGAAATTGTTTAACAATATTCGATTTTAAAAAATGTTTTTATCTATAATCAGAAATTAATATATCGTCATCATAAATGCTAAAGTATTACAGCATAATGAAAGTTTTTAAAATCAGAGTTGGTATAAAACCACGCTTTTCGATATTATAGAAAAACACGCGGAATAACAGCCGAATTTTAACTAAATATCGGCCTTTTTAGTTCAGATCATATATTGTTAATTAACTACTGCTTCTTATTGTTTTTTAAAGGTAATTTTTTAACATAGTGATAGGTATGGATTAGATCACACACCTTTTTACTGGTAATTGCAAAAAACAATATTCACAGAGTTTTACGTTTAAAAGGTAATTTTCTGGCGGCATGGTACTTTGGTACATCATTACGCGTTTTTCTACATGTACTTAACAGATCAGTTCGGGGTGGGTTGGGGAGGGGGGGCGGGGGGTTCAACTTCATTCACCACTGTCCGGTCACTTTAGGTCAATTATCCAACCCAGTGTATACCTAGGTGTGACATTAATGTCGCTCTACACAATTGTGGAGGTGAGGTGTGTGTGTGTGGGGGGGGGGGGGGGAGATAACCAACTCAGAGTGAACATAACGTCAGTTTTTAGATGACTGTTCTAAACATACATATATATTACACAAATATATATTACACAAATATATATTACAGAAATAGATTTAAATAAGTAGTAGTGGTATTATGACAATATTTTTTTTTACAGAGGGATCCATGGGGGAGGTGGGTTGTAACTGTTCATATAATTTGTAATCGTTATCACTATCGCCCAAACTGTAAGAATACTACTACTTCATCGTGATGACGTTGTTAACCTTGTCAAAAGTTTCCCACCACTACGCAGTTTGCTCATAAGTAAATTTAAGTAGAGGTGCCACATCAGTTGTATTTGTTTCTGTATTGTAATTAAAAAATAATAATCACACGATTCAAACTGTATATATAAAGTAATTATGTGTGAATTTTTATGTATACCATTTTCTAATTCAATCATTCGTAAGCAAATACATTATACAGTTGCCTTAAACTTAACACCCCTCTTGCCAAGTGGTACTACCCGTTGAGGTTTTTTAAACATTGCAATGCATTATAATGGTTATTTTTAGAATGGCAAACTGCTGCAGCTGTTAATATGTGTTGTAAACGTAGACACTACTAGACTAGTACAATAATGCTTAATTGCTGCATGAAAAGAAATCTTGTGATTTGCATAGATGTGCCGACCAAAAATATTTTTTTAACAAATATCATTGATTAAAACTTTGTTTAAAAAGTTTCCAAAAAAGGCGCCACTTTGCTGAAAATGGCCAGAGGGGGAGCGGCCGCTCCCCCTGCTCCCCCCCTGCGTACGCTACTGGGTCTGTGATTTGTTTTGTCGTGTTTATCTCTGAGATGTTGCAAAGTTGGGAATCAATGGTGACTCAATCTCTGGTGACACTAATGATACGGCCTCTACTGTAAACAAAGGTGACACAGGCCCTTGGTGTACTCTTCAGATATCGTGGGTGACACGGGGTTTAAAGACATAGTCGTGACACGTTTTAACTACATAGTGGTGATCTACGCTCTAATGACTTAGTTCTAGTGACATAGAGGTGATCTACGCCCTAATGACATAGTTCTAGTGACATAGAGGTGATCTACGCCCTAATGACATAGTTCTGATGACATAGTGCTGACACATGTTTTAGTGACACTGTGGTGACCTACGCTCTAATAACTTAGTGGTGACATACGAGTTAGAAACATTGTGGTGACATGTTGTACAGATAACGGTAAATACACATGCACTTGTGATATATTGGTGACACAAGCTTAGTTTGGTATTGGTGAGACACGCTCTTGTGACTCAGTGGTGACACACTCTAACATAGTGGTAACACTCAGTGGTGACACACTCTAACAGTGGTAACACTCTGTGGTGACACACTCTAACATAGTGGTAACACTCTTTGGTGACATACTCTAACATAGTGGTAACACTCTTTAACTTAGTGGTAACATTGTGGTGACGTAGTGGGTAAACGGTGATACAATTAGAAGCAAAATCAGACGGGTGTTACCAGTTACATTATGGTGACTCCTGTGTTCAGCACCGATTTCTAGCAGTGGTGATACAATCTTTGTGTACCTGGCCATGACATAATCTCTAGTTACACAGGTGGTGACGCACTCTCTAGATGGACGTGTACTGATATAATCTCTAGCTAGAGGTACAGTTGTGACTGGTGACACAATCTAAAGTAACACGCGGTATGACATGTTCAGTACTCCATAGATATATTGGTGACACTCGCTTTGGTGACACGTTATTAACACACACGGTGACATAGTATCTAGTAACACACGGGTGATACAATATCTAGCGACACACAATCGTAAATTTTGTATGACAGTGTTTAGTGACATTCTCCAAGGTCTGTCTAGTGGCACTTTGCCCAGTGGCACACCAATGACAGCCTGTATTGTCACTGACACACCAGTGTCATCCTGTAATGTCAGTGACACACCCGTGACAGCCTCATCACATGGACACACTGCAGACAGCCTCTAATGACAGTGACACGTCTACACCCAGACCTCACATTTGACCTAATTGTTGTTCCTAGTTCTAGCGCCCACCTGTCCCTGTCACACAAAACAAATCTAATGCCAGGACAATTTTTTCTCCCGTCGGCCAAAGTAGACACAGCTAAACAAATCTTATGCCAGGACAATTTTTTCTCTCAGCGGCCAAAGTAGACATCTGACACTTGCTATTTAAAGAGCTTTGTTTACAATAGTCTTTGGGGGCGTTACGAGGCGGTGACTCAGAGCTAGACAAAAATGTTTTCCATACGTTTACCAGACAACAAATGTTTTCCATACGTTTACCAGACAACAAATGTTTTCCATACGTTTACCAGACAACAAATGTTTTCCATAAGTTTACCAGACAACAAATGTTTTCCATAAGTTTACCAGACAACAAATGTTTTCCATAAGTTTACCAGACAACAAATGTTTTCCATAAGTTTACCAGACAACAAATGTTTTCCATAAGTTTACCAGACAACAAATGTTTTCCATAAGTTTACCAGACAACAAATGTTTTCCATAAGTTTACCAGACAACAAATGTTTTCCATAAGTTTACCAGACAACAAATGTTTTCCATAAGTTTACCAGACAACAAATGTTTTCCATAAGTTTACCAGACAACAAATGTTTTCCATAAATGTACTGTTAACAGCGAGTCTGTTTCCCCACCCACCCACACCTCACTCCCCTCTTACATAAAGATCTAATGCTGTTTAGCCAACCACTACACATTATGAAAACATATAAGTCTCCAATCCATAACCCTGTAGGTATTTGTGGTGAAGGAGGGGGGATAGAGGGAGAGTTTTCGTGCAGGACCCAACCTATCCCACATAAAACACCTATACATGCAGACGAATGCCGTGTGAAATATTATGAATGAAAGCACTTTAAACTTCAAATGAACAGAAATGTATCGGTTCTTATCAAATTTGTTTGGGCTCAACGATTAAATAAATTTGAAAACATAAGCCAGCCTCTAAAAGTATTTATATAAATAAAGATTGTATATAAATAAGCATGACAACAGTCAGAACCACCTCCCACAACCACGACAATAGTCAACACCACCTCCCACAACCACGACCACAGTCAACACCATCGCCCACAACCACGACAACAGTCAACACCACCGCCCACAACCACGACAACGGCCAACACCACCACCCACAACCACGACAACAGTCAACACCACCGCCCACAAATTGTCAAAAGTCAAACCACTAACCACCAAACGCGGCTAAACAAACACGTAAGACAGGTACTGCCATGTATAGTCTCACACATCACTGCAGGTTTGTTTATGATCGGCTGAGAGTTAAGATTACGGTGTATCACTTGGGTGGTTAGGATTAAGGTGTATACCCTAAGATTAACACACGGAGAAAAAATATAAGGGTCAGTTGACCCAGCCCTGACCCAGCTCGTGGTTTCATCTTGACCTCATTTAACTTCCGGTTCTGACCTGAGGGCGACTGACTGTAAATATTGACAACGATGATATCGTCGGAAATTTGAAACCATCATTTTAGAAAGTGAGTTATTGCCCCTTGTTGAAGGAGAAAGCAGTCGAGAAGTTACATCTATTCTTCGATTTTATTCTTATATAGCTCCAGTGTTTCTTCCAGACTTTTTTCTCCGGGGTGCACTTGAAATTTTCGGGGGGGGGGGGCGGACACTGTTAAAAGTATATATTTTCTATATAAATTATATAAATTTCATTTCGTTCGAAGAGATGCCTGGAAGAAACTCTGTTTAGCTCTAGCCCTAAACCTAGCCGGAACCTTAACCCTAATCATGATCCTTATCCGCATAAGTGTTTTAGCAGTGTATTTTTTTTTTACTAGAAACATTAATTTCTAAATAGCAAAAGGGTGACGTTAAGTACCGCCCCTGATCAATAACAATACAAAGTTGGACCGCGGCCCTGCACAAATGTCGAGACAGAGTTGTCGTTCCACACAAGGAAGGGGACTTAAGTCGTTATCACACAATGTAAGGGCGATAATCCGGGCACACAAATAGCTGCCTAAATACCAACCGTAGGAGGTGAAACAAAGGCCAATGGCAATGCACAAAGCGGGTTAACTCTGCTATCTAACAAAGAACAACAAAACAAGGGGGGACAAAAATAGAGATAAATAGAAGTTATCTGTATAGACGAGGAAATCCAATTATTTTCTTTTTTTTTGTCCTGCAGTGTTTAAGTAGAATAAAGTTAGAAAAGATTAAATTTGTTTTAAGTGGATTCGAGTGCAGCGGCGTAGCAAAAAAAGCGTAATCTCTATCTCTCTCTCTCTCTCGTTATTACATATATATATATATATATATATATATATATATATATATATATATACACACATATATATATATATATATATACACACACACACACACATATATATATATATATATATATATATATATATATATATATATATATATATATATATATATATATATATATATATATATATATATATATATATATATAGATATATATATAGATATATATATATATATATATATATATATATATATATATATATATATATATATATATATATATAGATATATATATATATATATATATATATATATATATATATATATATATATATATATATATATATATATATATATATATATATATATATATATATATATATCTATATATATATAGATATATATAGATATATATAGATATATATATAGATATAAATATAGATATATATATAGATATATATATATATATATATATATATATATATATATATATATATATATTATATATATATATATATAGATATATATATATATATATATATATCTATATATATATATATATATATATATATATATATATATATATATATATATATATATATATATATATCTATATATCTATATATATATATATATATATATATATATATATATATATATATATATATATATATATATATATATATATATATATATATATATATATATATATGTATCCCATGTAAAGCTTGCAATACTCCGCTGAACTTGTTTAGACTATATTTTTCAGAAATACAATTTTCACTTATACTGTTGAATCTATTGTCCCTTTTTAGCCAGTTATCCAACCCAACACCTCTTTAGCCGGCTATCTTACACTCCCCAACACTAATGTCTATGTACCTCTTTGGCCGGCTACCCACCACTGCCCACCACCAATGCCCCCCTCCCCCCTGTGTTGGTCACCATCAGACCCTTATGCTAACCACCACTGCACCCTCCCACCACTGCCCCCCCCCTATTTGTCACCACCAGACCCTAATGCTATCCACCTCTCCCCTGCAGATCTACCAAGTGGCCTACATCATCGTGAAGGCGGCCAACGCCCCCCGGCCGGGCAACTGGATCCTGGAGCGCTCCCTGGACGGGGTCACCTACAAGCCCTGGCAGTACTTCGCCATGACGGACAACGAGTGCCGGGAGGCGTACCGGAAACACCCCACCGTGGGGGTGCCGGATTATCTGGCCGACGACGAGGTCATATGCACCTCCAGGTACTCGGCACTGACGCCCCTGGAGAATGGGGAGGTAAGTGGCAGTTGTCTGCTCTTGTCAGTTCCAGTTGTCTGCTCTTGTCAATGTCTCTAATAATAATTGTCTGATGTTGGCAAAACACAAGTTATCTGCTCTTGTCAATATCTCTATTATAGTCAACGAGCCGACCCGCGGCATATCATACGCCGCTATTTAGTTGTTTTATTTTCTACTTTTCAGTAATTCATAATTTGTGAATTCGACAGTACCACTGCTGCCACTGAAAATATTTGCTTTAAAACAAACTCAGTAGGTCGTTAAGGACGATACTACCCGCCCCCTAACCCCCCCCCCCCCTCCCGTGAAAGCAGCCTCCTCTTAGTTACCTCCCCTAAGTTTAAAATCGTTTCAAACTAAATTATCTGCCCCTAATAGTCGTCACTAAACCCGGCTCTACGACTGTAAAAATTTAGCGTGAACCACAGCTCACCAGACCATGTAGGGGTGGGGTGGTACACACTAATTAAGTAAATTATCTTCCCTTGTCTGTATCTGTATTGTAACTTCAATCGTTTTATCTTATGTATAATCCAGTAGTGTGAGTTATCTGCCCTTGACAGTATCTTTTTCTAAAACGTCGATTGTCTGCTCTTGTAAAATTTATCAGTTGTGTGAGTTATCTGCCCTTTTGGACACGAATTATCAGACGAGTTATCCCCGCATGTCAACAGCGGCATTAATGTGCTTGACTCTTTCTGCCAACAACTCAATTATTGATAATTATCTTCTCAAACTGGAGCATCAAAATACTAGCAGAAATTTAAACATAAATTGTATTACACAATCCACATCTTTGTTTGTGTTTATAACTTTGGAAGTGAAAAAAATTAAAATTAAAGCAATAACGCGCTGATGGATTCTATTTATAATAATAAACGTATATAATTTTTCTCATGTTTGTATTTTTCTGTTTCTGGTTTAACAAGTAGATCTATTGTTTATTTTTTAAAATACATGTATGTGTTTATAAGTGAAGGCGTGGCCTAGCGATAGCGCTAGACTCCTAACCCGAAAGTCTCGAGTTCGAATCCGGGTTTAAGTCACCCTGAGATCACCCGACTCTGATGGGTATCTAACGTTAGGGAATCAAAGGCGACTGTGCATGGTGCTGGCCACATTGTCTACATGTATGCCGAGATATTTGAAACAGATGAACTCTACTTCATCTGCCCTATGTGTATTGGGCAAAAACGGGAAAAGATGATGATGTGTTTATAACGTTTGTGCAATTTCTCCTAAATTTGTATATTATAAATAGACGTATGTGTTTATGTTTGTTTAATGTAACCTAGATATTTGTATATTATTATACACTGATGTGTTTACAATGTTTGTGTAATTTCCCCAGAGATTTGTATATTATTTATATTATATTTATATTATTTATACACGTTTATCTATACTTTTTGTAATTTCCCCAGATATTTGTATCACTAGTCAACGGCAGACCAGGTGTTTTTCAACCCAGCAAAATTTTACTGGTGAGTACATTTAGAATATTTGTTACGTTTTGGTGAGTACGTTTTATACTTTTTAGGTTTTTAAATATTTTTTGTTTGTTTTCCTTGTGATTAGAAGTAGGCTACTTTTAAGTTAATTGTTGGGTTCTCTATTTACTAATTATGATAATAAGGGGGGGGGGGTGGAACGGTCGCACGGGCAATCTCTAGAACCAGCAGGATATCTGACGTACTCAGGGGCACCTCTAGATCCAGTGTGTGGGACCCCCCCCCCCCCCCCACCAGATCTACCCACTGTAACCAAATACCCGATGCCAGGAGTTTAACCTAGTTTCACCCACAGACTTGTCGCGATAAGCCGGACCACGTGACCTTCTTTGTGTTGACCTACATTTGAAATGAAAGCACTGAATGAAGTGGCGACGGGTGGGGGGGTGGGGGGGGGGGGGTCAGACGGGACGGGTTACAGATCAAACAGAACACCTGTAACCCTTACCTAATCGGGACACCCTTGGGACCCAGTCACGTGTTTAGGTAAACTCCCGCAGACGATCACTGGGTTAGCGGGTCCCTGTTAAGTCGTGCCGGTACTGTAAATACATTTTTTTTAAAAAAACCATTGTTGTATGACTCAGGTGGAGGGGGTGGGGGAGTGGGGGTGGGGGCAGATCCACGGCGCCTAGTTTACACATATTTGAAACACTTCTCATTAATCTCCGCCCGCTACTACCGTATTTAGTCAGCGACACGTCATGGTGTTTGTTATTTTTCGTTTTTTTTTTTTTTTACAATTCCAACTTTTTAAAACACCACTCTCCTGAAATTTCTGTGTGCTGGTTAATCATCAAGTTTAGATTCAGGCAGAACAGATTCGTTGTTTATTTTAGTTCGTTTTTTTGTTCTCTTTGATGTTTTGAATTGTTGTACCAGATCACGTGACCTCTCCCCTCACGTTGTCCTGTTATTCGGGGTGTTTTCCCTTTGCAGATTAGCTTCTATTTTTAATCAGCTTTGAGTATGTTTAGAAGAGGGCGGGGGTAGTTGTTACCATAGCAACAGCTTCTCGTCCTAAGAAACCCAGCAGTCCTCTCTCACCCGACCAATGAAACAATAGATTTATCTTGTAACATGAAACAAAGGACATACACACTACACAGACAGGAATACGTTCCAACCGCTGTACACCAGAGGTTGTGTGTTATAGCCGGGTAGACTTTAATGTGTCTAGGCCAGTGGTTCTCAACCTTTTTTGGTGGACCTAACAGGTTCATTCGTGCATTCACCAAACCCTTCTTAACGGCTCTATCGTCTTCACTGACAAAATCCGATCGTGGATCGTATGAGTCGGGTGTTTGTCTTGACCTCCGTCAAACCACTGAGATTGACTCACTGAACCCCTGGGGTTCGATCGAACCCAGGTAAGAATCACTGGTCTATGCATTGATTCTACTGGAGGTTACACAGACCCGAATATGGGCATAGAGCAACAATTTACTACGGCATTAGGAAAAATTGTTTTAGGTATAAGTCAACATCGCTTATAATATTTGTGAAAAGAAACACACAAGACAACCACAATATACAACAATATTATATACAACCAGAAAACCACACCACATTACGCAAACACATGAGATAACCATATTATACCACCACACTAGACAACCACATTATAAGCCTACAGCCACGTTAGACAACCACAACAGACAACCATATAAGACAACCACATTATGGAACCACACCAGACAACCACATTATGACACTATCGGGGTAGTAACTCTGTTAACGATAATTTATTTATAGAACTCATTGTCGTTGACACTGACGCTGTGTTGATATCAATGAAAAAAAGGAGGGGTCAATGGGGGGGGGGTGTCAGTCTAAATACCACCCCAATAGACCACTACTTGTTAAGTCATATTTTAAGAATGATTTATTCCCCACACTTCATTCACGCAACACTATCTAGCGTTGTGTGGATGACTTCAGGGGAGACTAATCCAGGCTTACAAGATCATGTCGGTGAAGAGTTGTCTTTCGTATTCAAATGACATCGGCAATCAAATCGATAAAAATCTCCGCGTCACGCTAGCCTTAACTGCACAGCGCCGAGTCAGCAGATTGACTAACAGGACGCCGAGTCAGCGAATCGCTCGTCTATTTGTTGGGTAACTGTTTTCAAAGACCCTCGACTGTAATATATTCAAAAGACATACCTGCTGCGTAGTTTATGAATAGCTCGAAAAATTTTTTTTATATCTAGTAGAGAAATTATTTTCCCACAAGGATGTCCTCATCGTTTCAGTCTGTGGTTCCCAGGGCAGATTATTTATTTACAACGGCTATACATATTTTTACAAGCAAATACGCTTTAAACTCGAAACCGGTTCTACTCTGTTTTTACAGTGTTTTACGTTCACAGAAGTTGATTTTTCAAAGTGAATGTTTCAAAACAACAACAAACATTGTTTTTCGTTCATCCTAACAAATGTGGCATCAACATATATGTAACTTTTGATTATTTTAAATTTAAAAAAAATAAAAATATTTTTGGCTGCAATCCTTTTTGTACAGTTTAATTTGAGAAAAAAAAAATCTAAAAACCCCCAGGATAATAGATTTTTGTTGAACTAATCCATTAATCGCATATAATTTGGATTGGGGTTTAAAGGAAGAGCCAGTAGTAGGAACGTCAGACATCCCCGAGGAGTGTCCTGACCACAGTAATCCTCCCCCAACTCTAGACCAGACCCACTCCTTGAAGTCTGGCTCTGTTGGATCTTTATTCGCGGTCTGACCGTTCTCACGACATTCGAGGCTGAACGGGTGGTTGAAAGAAACACGCATGAACACACGCATACAATATAGACATAGACACAGACGCGTGCACACACGCACACACATAAACGCAGACATATGCAGTCATATATAGACACACCTTACACACATAGACATATGCAGTCAAATATAGACTTATCTTACACACATACACTCATTCAGAGAGAGAGAGAGAGAGACACGTCTACACAAACACACACACACACACCTAGCACAAATTCACACAGATAATCAAACACCTACTGATAGTAACACACACACATTCAAAAGCTACACATCTGTACCCTTTCACAAAATCACACACCTACACACACGCAAACACGGACGGAAACAACCATGCAGTACCACGATACATACACGAGTCTCTTTCATATAACATTGGAGTCGGCGGTGAAGTGTGTGTCGGGTGGGGGGGGGGAGATGCAAATTAGGCGGTCGTAAATTATAATGTCACAACTATTTCGAGACGTTATAAACGTCAGCTTTCACACGTATATGTGTTGCATAATGCCACCCCTTTCCCCACACACAATGCCACCCCTTCCCCCACACATAATGCCACCCCTTTCCCCACACACAATGCCACCCCTTTCCCCACACATAATGCCGTATTTCAGACATTTAAATACCCTTCATGTCAGTATTTTCAATGTTTATCTAAAATCCAAGGTCCGTGCAAAACTGTAACATTATACCAACCCTGATTGTGTAACACCTTGTATGTAATATTACACCAACCGTACTTGTGTAAAACTTGTATGCAACAGCTTACACACACCGTATGTACCTGTACACAAATACCAGACGACCGTAACTTTTTTTTCTGTCTGGTCGGTAAAGGGTTAATGCGGTCTACACAAGGATCTGCTGTGTGTTTTAGTCGTTAGTGAGTACCCCACAATATTTTTCTCCCTGTCGTAATTAGTTGGCCCACATCAAAGTAGTTGGCCCACACCAAAGTAGTTGGCCCACGCCAAAGTAGTTGGCCCACACCAAAGTAGTTGGCCCACATCAAGTAGTTGGCCCACATCAAAGTAGTTGGCCCACACCAAAGTAGTTGGCCCACACCAAAGTAGTTGGCCCACACCAAGTAGTTGGCCCACATCAAAGTAGTTGGCCCACACCAAAGTAGTTGGCCCAAACCAAAGTAGTTGGCCCACACCAAAGTAGGTGGCCCTCACCAAAGTAGTCGGCCCACACCAAAGTAGTTGGCCCACACCAAAGTAGTTGGCCCACACCAAAGTAAGTGGCCCTCACCAAAGTAGTTGGCCCACGTCAAAGTAGCTGGCCCACACCAAGTAGTTGGCCCACACCAAAGTAGTTGGCCCACACCAAAGTAGTTGGCCCACACCAAAGTAGTTGGCCCACAGCAATCTCTACATTTGTGTCTCCACGACAGGACTTCACTTCGGCCAGATTTGTACAGCTTCGTTTCCAGAAGATTCGAACTCTGAACGCTGACCTGATGACCTTCAGCACTAGTGACCCTAAGTCAGCAGACGACACAGTCACGAGGAGGGTGAGTACATTATGACGTCATTATTCGTGTAAGGGGGAGGGAAATGACAGGGGGTGCTACGAATATATGCTGGGTACTGTATTGAGCCCAACCACATTTCACCCTCCTTACACGTCACAAAAGCCTCCCCCCCCTCCCCACAATTACAACGTAAAACAATTCACTTTTTATTATTTGTGTAGAGTCGACATAAGCATTAACTTAGGGTGTAAGTAACAGTTAACGAAAATGTTATAATCCATGGTAACCCCCCCCCCCCCCCCAATCGCCTCCCCACTTGACACACACGACACATTTCTAATAAGAGATTCTCCCATTTATAAACGACCACGTGAAATGTGGGTTACACACCTTCCCTAAACAACGTTATAACATTAGAGAATATGTTGATACAGGCCTACCCCTTCACGACAAGCGGCTGATAATAGTTATCTAACTCTAATTATCTAATTATCAACTTGGTTTCAGTATTTCTACTCGGTCAAGGACATCTCAATTGGAGGACAATGCATCTGTTACGGCCATGCCACCTACTGCAGACGACACGAGACGGTCAAAGATGTAAGCACGCTAAAAGTTGACACCTTCAACATTTTTACGTGTAAAACAATACATGCACTGTTTTAGCCACTGATTAAACTACACACAGAAAACCCTTCAATAAACCAAGTCCGATTTGATAGGCGGGAGGAAAAAGATGGTTAAATAAATGCAAAGTAACACATTTTCTAATCCCTATATGATGAAATAAAGAAACATTAATCTTGGTTGGGATTATGATAATTTTGGGTGTGGCTGAGGGGGGGGGGGGGCAGGATTGGCTATTTTATTCACGTCTCCTTTCTGAAGGACCCTACCTCGCCCTACCTACCCTTTAAGACATTTTCTTAAAAGTGGCGTCACAACTAGTCACAAGTTGGAGGAAACTCAGTGTTGCCTCCCTTACCAACGTCTCTCTCTCTCTCACATTTTCTCTCTGTCCCTGTCCAAAATCAAGGCAATTTAGTGTATCCCACTGATAGTTGTGATAGTGTCGCCCTGAGCCTAAAGATGTATGTAGTAGCCTTTATAATAAAGTTATTCAACAAACTTTAAAAGACAGTTAATCATTCAAATTATGCTGGGTACTGTATTATACCCAACCAGAGTTCACCTTCCTCACACAGGCTATATTTCCTTGGATGATATCACACCAGATTCGGTCCTAACCACCCCCCCCCCCCCCTCCTCCTCGTGACGGTACTGACGATAATAGTTAAATCAATTTGTTCTTTAAACTAAAAAAAATGCCAGTCTGTCGTTTCTCTAACGTGTGTTTAGAGTTGGCCAGTATCTGTGTACACAGCACTTCCCGCCATTATTTGCAACAATGTAACTTTTGAAACATTTTTATGACTGTTGACTTGCAGCGCTTGCAGTGTCAATGTTTACATAACACCGGGGGAGACAACTGCGAAAAATGTTTGCCTATGTTTAACAACAAACCGTGGCAGGTTGGCGGAATTCAAAATATTGGATGCGAAGGTTGGTGTGAACAATTGTAATATGCTCTCTTTCTGTCAATAATATAATTTAATAAACTAGATGTTAGATACTAGATCTAGCTGTACATTGTGATAACAAGAACGATCTTAGGCCTTTATATGTAAAGTGTTACTGTTATTAGCCAATAATGCAATATTAGGCATATTAGCTGACGATATGTTGCGTTTCTAAGAAAAAACATGATATTTTAATAAATAATCTTTATATTTAAAACATTAGAACTAGAATCTATTTAGATGTATTTTCCGTTTCTTTCAAAATAGTTAATAATTAAATCAATTTAGTTGTAAGAATTTGTTGGTGAAATTTAAATGTACAAAAACATGGATAAAAAAAAACCCATAAAAATCAAACAAACAAGTTCTTGGCTTAAACTAGGAACTATTATCTGGCATGTTCCACTCTACTTCGTATTTGATTAAAATTTGCAAACAATCTAGAAGTCTATTAGATCTAGATCTAGATCTAGATCTAGTAGTAGATTTAGATCTACTATTAGATATTGCTAGTCCCCTAACTATAGTAATTTTACTTAGATCTAGTTTTAGATGTCTCTAGACTGTGTGTGTGGGTTGGAGAATTTACAGTGGATCTGAAATAGGAATTAATTAAGTATCAGTGCTAGATTCTGAGTCTAGCTATGCTAACTCAACTCAAACTGTTAGAGATGTTGAAGTCTGCTAGAGTCTAGACTACTCTGAGTCTAGACTCTAGACTAGATCTAGCAGCTAGACTAGAATCTAGAATCGGATTAAATCTAGATCTAGATTTATGTGTTAACCACTGTATGCACACTTTACATTTTACAATGAATCCTATCTTCTCACTAATTGCCCTGCTTGTGTCCACTGTGCAGAATGTAACTGCCATGGTAAAGCTGACCAGTGTCAGTACAACGCCACAGTGGATGCCTTGGGTCTGGGGATGAACATCATGGGAGAACGGGATGGAGGTGGAGTCTGCATCAACTGCAAGGTAACCCTGGTGATGTGGTCTGTAATGTGTGGTGGTAATGTGGTGTGTGGTTGAATGTGGTGAGGATGCATTGTGGTGTGTCTTTTTTTATGTGTTAGAGTGATTGTTATGCTTTGTTATTTATGAATCAAGCTTTATGAAGTTTAAAGTAAAAATTTATTTTAAGGAATACACGACTGGCATCAACTGTGAGAGGTGTATTGAGGGGTACTACAGGCCCCGGGGGATGACACCAGACATGAGAAACCCCTGCAGGAGGTGTAACTGTAGGGAGACCACCACGACGCAAGCTAGTTGTGTGCCAGATGATAGCAGGATGGACGAGGGCTTGGTAAGTTGTGGGGGTGGGTGGAGCTTATGAGGGTTTGGTATGTTGTTGTGGTGGTGCAGGGGGCTTACGAGGGCTTGGTAAGGTGTGGGTGGAGGTTACTAGGGCTTGATAAGTTGGAGGGGGGAGCTTACGAGGGCTTGGTACATTGTAGTTGGGGGCTGGTAAGGGCTTGGTATGTTTTGTTGGGGGGATGACATGAGGGTGCTTTATTCATAGATCAGCTCAATTGACTAATGTGGTATTACAGATGTTAACTATTTCTGTACTCGCAGATATGCATTAACAACACTGCACAGTTACACTGAACAACACACACACATTTTACTTATTCTGTAAACCATCACATGTCAAGTACACTCACCAACTGAAGCAGACACTGAATCTAATGTTTGACATTTGGTTTTCAGAAGCCAGGGGACTGTATCTGCAAGGAGGGCTACTCTGGTTCATCCTGCAGTGAATGTGCTCTCGGTTACTATGGTTACCCCAACTGCAGGCCATGTCGCTGTAACATAGCAGGGATTGTTGATGCTAGGGATTGTGAGGGAGTCTGTGTTTGTAAGGTTTGTACATAGGGTGTGAGTGTTGTACATGGTTTGTTGGTGTTTTTAAAGTAGATTCAACTATGAGTAATCTCAAGTTTTTTGTAATCATTTAGCTTCTTTTTAAACATGAATTATTATTGTACTTTCTCATTCAGCAAATTTAATAAACCAGTAACAATCCAATCTGTCATGTCAGCTTTTACTAGTCTGTCAAGTAAAAAAATTCTTCCATCTCTGTCCAGGAAAATGTTGACGGAAGCCGATGTGATCGGTGCAAGCCAGAGTACTTTAACCTGGATCAAAACAACGCTAAAGGCTGCATCCACTGTTTTTGTTTTGGTGTCACCAACCAGTGCGACAGTGTGGACTGGGGGCTGACTACTGTAAGACCCTAAGAACAATAATTCTATCAGCTTAGTATTTACCTTATGCTTACTAATACCATTCTCTATTAAACCTGTTTTTGTGTTGACTTATTTAAAAACATTTTTCGGTGTGTAAAATAGTTCAAATCTAAAGAAAGTTAAAGAAAGAGCTCTGTCATATGTCTGTCCTACCACAGGTCAATGAAGTAGATGGCTGGGTGCTATCAACACTGGACGCCAATGGATTGACCATTCTCCCCAATTATAATGATGACTGGCTGGAGGCAAAGATTTCTTACCAGAAGTCCCAGGAGGAGATTCATTACTGGGTGGCTCCTTCAGCTTACCTGGGGAACAGGGTGAGTTAGTTATGGTTGACAGGGTCAGTTTTTCATGGTTGACTGGTCCAGTGGCGTAGCCAGGATCGTTCCAATTTTTACCCAGGGACAAACTTTCGATTTGCACCCCCCCTCAAACTTTCGATTTGCACCCCCCCCCCTCAAACTTTCGATTTGCACCCCCCCTCATACTTTTTCTATATACCGAGGGGTCTATGGGGGGCTTATGGACTGGTCCAGTTCATGGTTGAGAGGGTCAACTGGTCATGGTTGACTGGGTCAGTTTAGTTTTAACTGACACAGCTAAATCAGCTAAGTATAATGATTTAAAAAACCACTTTTGTTCTGTAACACGTGTACACTAGCCCGTGACTCTAGCTAATCCCCCCCCCTCCCCAATGTAGACTAGCCAGTGGGTGTAGCAAATCTCCCCAATGTACACTAGCCCATGACTCTAGCAAACCTCCCCAATGTACATTAGCCTGTGACTTGAGCAAATCTCCCCAATGTACTTTAGCCTGTAACTCAAGCAAATCTCCCCAATGTACACTAGCCAGTGGTTCTAGCAAATCTCCCCACTGTACACTAGCCTGTGACTTGAGCAAATCTCCCCACTGTACACTAGCCTGTAACTCGAGCAAATCTCCCCACTGTACACTAGCCTGTAACTCGAGCAAATCTCCCCAATGTACACTAGCCAGTGACTCTAGCAAATCTCCCCAATGTACTCTAGCCTGTAACTCGAGCAAATCTCCCCAATGTACACTAGCCTGTGACTCTAGCAAATCTCCACAATGTACTCTAGCCTGTGACTCGAGTAAATCTCCCCACTGTACACTAGCCTGTGACTCTAGCAAATCTCCCCAATGTACACTAGCCTGTGACTGTAGCAAATCTCCCCAATGTACTCTAGCCTGTGACTCTAGCAAATCTCCCCAATGTACTCTAGCCTGTAACTCGAGCAAATCTCCCCACTGTACACTAGACTGTGACTCTAGCAAATCTCCCCAATGTACACTAGCCCGTGACTCTATCAAATCTCTCCAAAAGATCAGCTCATATGGTGGCATGTTGAAGTTCAGCCTCATGTTCAACTTGGATAGAAAACTGCGTCGGGGAGAGTTCTTGGAAGATCCCACCTTCATTTTACAGGTAAGCAAGGAGCACTAGTTAGGTAGCATGGGGTACTACTTTAGTTATATCTTAAAGGTAGGTAAGCAAGGAGTACTAGTTAGGTAGCATGGGGTGCTACTTTAGTTATATCTTAAAGGTAGGTAGGCATGTACAGAGCTACTTATTAAAAAGAAGTGTTGTATTCTTTGAACAGGGCTACAACAAGACAATTTGTTCAGAAAAGACATTGGTGTTGGAGGACGTGGAACACAAGATGAGCATCCGTCTACATGAGGACAACTGGCGCCACCTACACAACAACCGTCCAGTCTCGCGGGAGGAATTCATGACTGTGTTGTACGACCTGCAACGTCTGTTGATACGAGCAACATTCCACACAACTCAAGACACTGTCTAGTAAGTCTGTCTGTTGATACATGTAACCTTCCGCACAAGACACTGTCTAGTAAGTCTGTCTGTTGATACATGTAACCTTCCGCACAAGACACTGTCTAGTAAGTCTGTCTGTTGATACATGTAACCTTCCGCACAAGACACTGTCTAGTAAGTCTGTCTGTTGATACATGTAACCTTCCGCACAAGACACTGTCTAGTAAGTCTGTCTGTTGATACATGCAACCTTCCGCACAAGACACTGTCTAGTAAGTCTGTCTCTTGATACATGTAACCTTCTGCACAAGACACTGTCTAGTAAGTCTGTCTGTTGATACATGTAACCTTCCGCACATGACACTGTCTAGTAAGTCTGTCTGTTGATACGAGCAATCTTCCACACAACACAAGACACCGTCTAGTAAGTCTGTCTATTGATACGAGCAACCTTCCGCATAAGACACTGTCTAGTAAGTCTGTGTGATGTTCACTTGAGCACATTTTCAACATGCTTGGTACTTTGAACATACTCAACATTATAAATAATGTATCTGCTGCCTGCCATGAAAACAGAACATATTTTTTTCTTCCTTTATAAGAAAACTGTAAAATTAATTTTTCAAATAAAAATTAATCAGGAAAGACAAAAAGTAAAGTTACAATCTTAAACCCTGGCTGTCCATGAGCAGATGAAGTATGGTTCACCTAGTTTATGTGACCTCAGCATTTAAGAGATAGTGTGTTGTGCCCAGCAGCCATTAGAGCTGGGACAACTCAGGGACATGTATGGATTCAAGCCTGGGTTCCGAACTCAAGACTTTTGGATTAGCAGTTACATACTCTACCATTTGACCATGCTGTTCCACAAAAATTAATGAGTGCATCTCTTAAATAAAATTATACTTCTTAAAAATTAATAACATTTTCTTTTCCTTAAAAGATGTGTTTTTATTTCAGCTTAAAAGATGTGATTTTGTTTCAGCTTAAAAGATGTGTGTTTTTATTTCAGCTTAAAAGATGTGATTTTGTTTCAGCTTAAAAGATGTGTGTTATTTCAGCTTAAAAGATGTGTGTTATTTCAGCTTAAAAGATTTGATTTTGTTTCAGCTTAAAAGATGTGATTTTGTTTCAGCTTAAAAGATGTGATTTTGTTTCAACTTTAAAGATGTGATTTTGTTTCAGCTAAAAAGGATGTGATTTTGTTTCAGCTTAAAAGATGTGATTTTGGATGTGGCCAGCCCAACTGTGATGGATGGAAGTTCTTTGAAGTCTGTAGAGCAGTGCCAGTGTCCAGAAGGCTATGCTGGTCTGTCATGTGAGGTGAGTATCCTGCAGGGTATTCCCAAAACTAACTTCACACCCTGAAGAGCTATTCCATTATGTAAAAAGTGGTGTGAGCTATGCATGAAACAATGACTGAATATTTTCCTTGTAGAGCTGCAAACCTGGATGGCGCAGGGTCAATGACAGGTTGATTGGTGGCACCTGCCGTAAGTGTGAGTGCCATAACCACGCCTCAGACTGTGATTCAGTTACAGGCTTCTGTAAAGTAAGTGCTCTCTAATGTTAAGGATTGAAATAATGTTATCGTAACTCCATCTTCTATTTTAAAAATTCACACAATGTATTAAATATATTTTAATTTAGTTAAAATTTTAAAAATAATTCTTATTGTAATTTATCTTACAAGCTTTTTTAAAGAAACATTTGATTTTTCCATAAAAATAAATTTTTGTGTTACTGTATTTAAAACTTTAGAACTGTCGACACAATACTAAGGGGAGATACTGTGAAGAGTGCCTTCCTGGTTTCTATGGCAACCCACTAGCAGGAACACCAGACGACTGCAGACCCTGTGCCTGCCCACTGATCAGTGGAAACAATTTTTTTGCCGAGCGCTGCGTGGCCCGCCCCACGGCTGAGGACATGACTGCGTACGTCTGCATCAACTGTAGGACTGGCTACACAGGGGATAGATGCCACATGTAAGCCTTGACAAAGTTTACCTAAAAAATTGTTAAAGTTTAATTAGCATTTTGGTTTCTGTTATGGTAAAAATTACAAAAATGGATGTTTTAAAAATGTATAAAAGTCGGACCAGCAAAGATGAGAAAGAATTAAGTTAATACAATTATAAAAGTAATGCATTATATAGCTCACACTATGACCAGATGTCCTTGTTTAAGATGTAAAATTTATTCATGAAAACACAAAAATCATGTTGCAAACTTAATTTATTCATAAAAACACAAAAATTATATTGCAAACTTAATTTATTCATGAAAACCCAAAAATTATATTGAAAACTTCATTATGTTCTGAACTCAGGTGCTCGCCTGGGTACTTTGGGGACCCCACCACCCCAGGTGGATCGTGTCGGCGCTGCAGCTGTGGGCCAGTTACTGAACTTACCCACCCCAACATCTGCAACAACATGACGGGCACATGCAACTTCTGCAGCAACAACGCAGAAGGTCCCTACTGTGACAGATGCAAGCCTGGGTTTTACGGCACTGCCCTCAATGGGGACTGCAAACGTAATACACAGTGTCATTTATTCATCTTTTGTTTAATCTGTTTTAACAAAAGGTTCTTTTAATTCATTAAAATTCAGAAGAATGTCTCCAATTGAAATTTTATTCACAAATAAGTTATTTAAAAAAATAATTTAAAATAAAGGATTGAGTCCAAACATGTTTATATATTTACAGTATCTTAACAATAATTTTCCACACCCTTTCTGTATAAACTCCATGTTTCACATATATCTGGCAGTATTTAGCCTCTATAACCATGTCACTAAAGAAACAGTAAAAATGTTGTAGTTGAGCAGGATGTAAACAATGTTCATCCTTTACTTTCTCCTGCAGCTTGTGAATGCTATGAAAGGGGCTCCAACAACCTGCAGTGCAACATCAGAACTGGCCAGTGTTCTTGTAGAAGCCGCTTCACTGGCCTCAAGTGTGACAAGTGCCAAGTAAGCCTTTAAACTAGAACCTTGTCTCTCAGTGTGATTCCTTAATTTGGACTTCAGGCCATTGGTCTAGATTTAGGCTGGACTTGAAGGTCTCTGACTTTAAAAAAATCAACATATCTGACTTTTGGAAATCAGTAATTTGCAATTTAAAAAATATTTTAACTGTATGATGAATGTAGCTCTAAATGAATTACAACTAAGTCAGTAAGTTTGTGAATGGTCAGTTTGTGAATGGTCAGTTTGATGTTTAATTACAGCTGGGTCTGAATATTTGTGACTGGTCAGTTTGATGTGGTTTAATTACAACTTAGTCTGAATATTTGTGACTGGTCAGTTTGATGTGGTTTAATTACAACTTAGTCTGAATATTTGTGACTGGTCAGTTTGATGTGGTTTAATTACAACTTAGTCTGAATATTTGTGACTGGTCAGTTTGATGTTTAATTACAGCTTGTTCTGAATATTTTTGACTGGTCAGTTTGATGTGGTTTAATTACAGCTGGGTCTGAATATTTGTGACTGGTCAGTTTGATGTTTTATTACAGCTGGTTCTGAATATTTGTGACTGGTCAGTTTGATGTTTAATTACAGCTGGTTCTGAATATTTGTGACTGGTCAGTTTGATGTTTAATTACAGCTGGTTCTGAATATTTGTGACTGCTCAGTTTGATGTGGTTTAATTACAACTTAGTCTGAATATTTTTGACTGGTCAGTTTGATGTTTAATCACAGCTGGGTCTGAATATTTGTGACTGGTCAGTTTGATGTTTAATTACAGCTGGGTCTGAATATTTGTGACTGGTCAGTTTGATGTTTCATTACAGCTGGGCTATGGCAACATTGAGAGGGGCTGTGAGAGATGCAACTGTGACCGGAGGGGATCACAAACTTTGGACTGTGACCAGGTCACCGGTCAGTGTGAGTGCAAGTCAGGCATCGAAGGACTGTCTTGTAATCAGTGCCAGAAAGGATTCTATGATTTCACCGTAACGGGCTGTAAACGTGAGTTGATTTTACTTTCTGAATTTTTTTTGTTAATGAGTTGATTTAAAACATATTTTTTAATATAAGTAGATTTCACACACATTTTTTTAACTTGAGTTTATACCTGCCAGTTTTTAACCTACCTATCCCTAACAATAATCCGCAGGCTGCAACTGTTACGCTGTTGGCACCAACGACTCTGTAGACTGTGACCCCTACTCTGGCAGGTGCATCTGTAAGCCTGGGGTTGAGGGGAGTAAATGTGACAAGTGCCAGGTAAGTGCAGAATCCCAGGTAGAAATTAGTTTGGTTTAAGCTTGGCAAGAGACAATCTGGCAACAATTTACACCTGTTGGTTGTAAAAATCTGGCAACAATTTACACCTGTTGGTTGTAAAAATCTGGCAACAATTTACACCTGTTGGTTGTAAAAATCTGGCACCTATTCATACCTGTTGGTTGTTGAAATCTGGCCCCTGTCAGATCTGCCACTTTTTAAAATCTAAAGTTACTAGAAGTATAAACAAATAGGAGAATTACATTATTTCTTTCAGGTTATACACATTAATATTTACACTTATAAATCATAATTTTAAAATAAACATTCATATTATGAAAAGTAAAATATCCATAATCAGATAGTGTAATATTAACATTGAAATAAAAAATATTGCCAACTTTTAGGGCGGTCACTTTGGCCTAACAAGTGGACAAGGCTGTGCTCCCTGTGTCCACTATAATAAAAATGTTAACACTGAAATATTGTCAACTTTTAGGGCGGTCACTTTGGCCTAACTAGTGGACAAGGCTGTGCTCCCTGTGTGTCCACTATAATAAAAATGTTAACACTGAAATATTGTCAACTTTTAGGAAGGTCACTTTGGCCTGACTAGTGGACAAGGCTGTGCTCCCTGTATGTGCACTATAATAAAAATGTTAACATTTAAATATTGTCAACTTTTAGGATGGTCACTTTGGCCTGACTAGTGGACAAGGCTGTTCTCCCTGTATGTGCAGTGCTGCTGGCTCAAGGGATGCCCAGTGTGCACAGGAGAGTGGTCAGTGCGAGTGTAAAGCAGGTGTTGGTGGACTCAAGTGTGACAGGTGTCTTCCTGGGTATTTTGGCTTCTCCGCCAGTGGTTGTAAGGGTAAGTGGTTGTCAGGGTTAGTGGTTGTAAGGGTAAGTGGTTGTCAGCGTCAGTGGTTGTCAGTGTTAGTGGTTTTCAGTGTCAGTGGTTGTAAGGGTAAGTGGTTGTCAGGGTCAGTGGTTGTCAGGGTCAGTGGTTGTCAGTGTCAGTGGTTGTAAGGGTAAGTGGTTGTAAGGGTAAGTGGTAGTCAAGGTCAGTGGTTGTCAGCATCAGTGGTTGTCAAGGTCAGTACTTGTCAGGGTAAGTGGTTGACAGGGTAGGTGGTTGTCAGCATCAGTGGTTGTAAGGGTAAGTGGTTGACAGGGTAGGTGGTTGTCAGGGTCAGTGTTTGTCATTGGTTGTCATGGATAAATAGTTATCAGAGGTGGTTGTCAGGGTAAATGTTGTAAGAGTCAGTGGTTTATAAAGATGATTGTCAGACAAGTATTTGTTTTAAAAGATGTCAGCTAAAATAGTAATACACTAATTCCCACGTTTTCTTTAATTTGCTTTCGTCTCTGTTTGTTTGTCTTTCCAATCAAATCTTGCGATCGAAATTTCTGGCACTTCCCAGTTAGCTAGCGCGCTGAAATTGTCAGGGAAGCTTTGTGATTTTCTTACAGTTTCTAATACTGTTGACTCTCTACAAGCTCCCTAATAAAAGTCAATAGTATTATCTAATCAATAGTAATATAACTTTTACTTCGGCGCCCCATGTTTTTCATCGCTTATAGTAGAGTGATCGCTTGCATTATTGTGATGTATAGCATTTATTTTCTACTTTTTAGTTCAATCAGAAAACGTGGGTTTTTAAAACTTTTTTAATGATTATTATTTAGAAAAATACAAAGACAATTGTTTTATGAAAGTTAACATCAATACAAAGTTTAACACTCAGGTAAAATGGGCTATCATTTAAATAAAAAATTATAACTAAGACACATATAATTCCAGTTTGTGAACCATGCACTGCTAAAGGGCATATCTGTGATCCAGTTACCGGAAAATGTGTTTGTCCACCAAACACAGAAGGCCCGAACTGTGAAATCTGCATCACCAATGGCTGGGGGTTTGATGAGGAGGGAGGCTGTAAGGTAGGTCACTCACTAGAGGTACATGGTGCACAGCTATAGGGAAATAAAAACATGTTTTAATTTTTCTCCAAGGGCTTTAGGTTGCTGTTTAGGTTAATGAATGATTTTCCAGTACAGTTCCTTCTCAGAAATAATTATGTTGACAACATGCATAGACCTACACTTTAAAAATTGACATAGAAATAAATATGAAGTACACAGCATATACTTAGATTAACTGTTAAATTATCATTCCATTTCTCAATTGAATTTACAATTTGATGATGTTTAAAGCAGCAATCCAATAATTTATTTTACTTTAATTTTAAAAATGCTTTTGTGATTGGTTGACTTGTAGAATGCGCGAGGCTGAGAATGTCGTATCAGTTATGTTTAGTGCTAGCTAACAAAGCTACATTAATCTACTCAAGGCCACAATCTTGACTCATAAACATAAAGATGAAAGGGAAATATTTTTAAAAAGCAAACAATAGATTAAAAAAATTCTTTACCACATTACTGCTAGAAACCTAAGGAAGTGAAGCTGAATGGGAAGAATTCTAATGAAAGAAAAATGAATAGTAAGAAATAGAATGATACAAATGAAAGAAAAAATGTGAAAAAATGCAAGTCTAAGGTGAGGGAAAAGTAGCAAAAGTGGGAGTATTCATTGTTGTAAAACAATGTTTACACAATAAGCTGTAGTTATTGGCCTTGTGGAAATACAGATGGGGAGTGTTCATTGTTCTAAAATGAAAACTGCAGATGTTGTGTGATAATGCATTGAACACTTTGTGTTAACAACTAACCTGCATCTAGACTTTATTGTAGTCTGTTTAGCCTAACGGTAGATAGAGGCAGTAGCCTAAGTATAGATTTAGGCTAAGGCCTAACTGTAGATTTAATCTGTAGCCTAAGTATAGATTTAGGCTAAGGCCTAACTGTAGATTTAGGCTCATGTTATAAAAGAAAAAACATAATTTGATGTATTAGCATTAACTTAAATGTGCTTGCTAAAGTCTAACAAAAGCTACATCAGTATTAACAAAAGGATCTTAGCGCAAAACCAGTGTTTAGTAGCAGACCCAATAACATTCACTAATATTAACATCTTTTAGCTGTTCTTCATATAATTTTTAATTCTCATGCAACTATAACAGATAGAATTTGTGAACAGTTTTTATATTAAAATAAATATCATTGGACTTTTAATGATTGATAAAAGAAATTTTTGCTGGAATTAATTCTATTGGAAAGTTTAATTACTCCTTAATCCTATAATTTTTTTGTTTTTACTTCAAGGCTGTACATTTTAAAAACAGATGCCCTATTTCTAAAAATAGGAAGTCACATGGTCTCTAAGTTTTTGATTTCACCTAGGTGGACATGGTTTTTAAGTGTTGTCATTTTCAGCTGTGTCAATGCAGTCCAACTGGATCAAGGTCACAACAATGTGACAAAAAAACTGGCAAGTGCAGTTGCCAGGAGGGCTATGCTGGTTTGAAATGTGACTCTTGTAGTGTTGGTTACCACGGTTACCCTGACTGCAGGGCTTGTGGGTGTCTTCAGGCAGGTGTCATTGATGACACGTGTGAGGATAGTGTATGCGAATGTGATGGAACTGGACAGTGTCTTTGTAAGGTAACAACACAGAAATGTTATCCTGAATTTTAAACAAATATTATACATTTTTTTATGATACATTCTACATGTGATTGAAATCTGACTATTTAATGTTCAAAAAACGGTATCCATAGAATCCTATATACAGTGTTTTGACCAAAACGGCATTAGGCAAATGTTTATTACAACGATAAATATTTCAATTTAACTTTTCATTTAATGCAGTAGATGAAAAGGTGCATTAGGTTTGCTATTTTCATCATTGTAGTTTGTCTTAACACTGAGTCGCACTAACTATCACTAGATTGTGACTTGTAGAATAGCATATTCTTTTATTTCCTGTATCTAATTATTTTCTCAGCATTTTCTTTGTACGAATAACCTACTAATTTAATTCGGAAACTTGTTTAAAAATAGAACTAGTCAACTGTTTAACAGCATGCTTTTTTTAAAATTGTTGAATCGATTTCTGATTTTTTTTATAACTTCTTATTAACAAAAAAAACTGAATTTATAAAATTGTTCAATGCAGTTTAATGTTGAAAGTGAATATCTGATGTGATGTATGTCACTGAGGTATATGTAGCTGATTTTCAGACATGTGGTTTTTAATTAAAAAAAATAAACATACCTTTCCTCCCCCTTCCTTGCCTAAATTCTAGTAAAGACTTATTTTAAAAAAATTGTGCTTAAAAAAGTTTAATCAACTTTGTTTTGTCAAATTATTGTTTAGATATTATAAATAATTAGCTATATTTAATATAAGACCAGATTTAAGTAAATATTGAAGCCCAACTCTACTTCACCTGTCCAGGAGAATGTTGAGGGACCAAGGTGTGATGTGTGTCGTGCAGGGACATTTGGCCTTTCTAAAGAGAACCCAAAAGGTTGCACTGAGTGTTACTGTTTCCTTCGAGGCGAGTCCTGCAAACAGGCCCCCTATGTCTACACTGAGGTGAGCTCACTTTTGTCTTCTGCTCATTTGTTATTGATTGTTTTCATTAGCCTGTATAGAACTCATTTATTATTGATTGTTTTTTTTTTAATTAGCCTGGATAGAACTCATTTGTTATTGATTGTTTTTTTAATTAGCCTGTATAGAACTCATTTGTTATTGATTGTTTTAATTAGCCTGTATAGAACTCATTTGTCATTGATTGTTTTAATTAGCCTGTATAGAACTCATTTGTTATTGATTGTTTTAATTAGCCTGTATAGAACTCATTTGTCATTGATTGTTTTAATTAGCCTGTATAGAACTCATTTGTTATTGATTGTTTTAATTAGCCTGTATAGAACTCATTTGTTATTGATTGTTTTAATTAGCCTGTATAGAACTCATTTGTCATTGGTTGTTTTAATTAGCCTGTATAGAACTAATTTGTTATTGATTGTTTTAATTAGCCTGTATAGAACTCATTTGTCATTGGTTGTTTTAATTAGCCTGTATAGAAATTAGAACAATTTTATAACAATTTTATCATCTCAACATAATGAAAGAAAATAAATTGACAATGAATTTGGTTACTTTGAAAGAATAGGTTTCTGTTTCATGTACTTTCTCTAGATTGAGCTGCCCACAATGAGTGCTACATTCACTTTGTAAACGTACTTTGTCTAGATTGAACTGCCCACAATGAGAGCTACATTCACTTTGTAAACGTACTTTATCTAGATTGAACTGCCCACAATGAGAGCTACATTCACTTTGTAAATGTACTTTGTCTAGATTGAACTGCCCACAATGAGTGCTACATTCACTTTGTAAATGTACTTTGTCTAGATTGAACTGCCCACAATGAGTGCTACATTCACTTTGTAAATGTACTTTGTCTAGATTGAACTGCCCACAATGAGTGCTACATTCACTTTGTAAATGTACTTTGTCTAGATTGAACTGCCCACAATGAGTGCTACATTCACTTTGTAAACGTACTTTATCTAGATTGAACTGCCCACAATGAGTGCTACATTCACTTTGTAAATGTACTTTGTCTAGATTGAACTGCCCACAATGAGTGCTACATTCACTTTGTAAACATACTTTCTCTAGATTGAACTGCACACAATGAGTGCTACATTCACTTTGTAAATGTACTTTGTCTAGATTGAACTGCCCACAATGAGTGCTACATTCACTTTATACATGTACTTTATCTAGATTGAGCTGCCCACAATGAGTGCTACATTCAGCAGTGCTGGTCATCCGCTGGTCAGGAAGTTTGGCTACCTCATCATAAACTCCAGCCATACAGCAGTGCCTGATGATTTAGCTGAGCAGTCTCTGTACTGGCTGCTGCCAGACACAGTGTCTAAAGACATGGTAAGTCCTGTTACAGCTACAAGACACATTGTCTAAAGACATGGTAAGTCCTGTTACAGCTACCAAATATATCGTCTAAAGACATGGTAAGTCCTGTTACAGCTACCAAACATACATCTAAAGACATGGTAAGTCCTGTTACAGCTACCAAATATATCGTCTAAAGACATGGTAAGTGCTGTTACAGCTACCAAATATATCGTCTAAAGACATGGTAAGTCCTGTTACAGCTACCAAATATATCGTCTAAAGACATGGTAAGTCCTGTTACAGCTACCAAATATATCGTCTAAAGACATGGTAAGTCCTGTTACAGCTACCAAATATACCGTCTAAAGACATGGTAAGTCCTGTTACAGCTACCAAACATATCATCTAAAGACATGGTAAGTCCTGTTACAGCTACCAAACATATCGTCTAAAGACATGTAAAGTCCTGATACAGCTACTATAAGAAGTACATGTTGATGTTGAACCCAGACATGATAGTGCTGACTACTTAATCCCCCAACAGGTCCTATCCTACAATGGCAAGCTGAGCTTCTACCACTACTTCAGTGGCTCCATGCTGAGTGCTCATCTATTGGAGGAGACCCCACTGGTTGTCCTGATAGGCAATGGCTTTGAACTGCACGCAACGCCATCCATATTAGAGCCCAAACATGCTATGAAGGTTGATGTCACTTTGAATGAGGTAGGTTCAGTCCCACGTAGAACATTGCATTGATAAAAGATATTAGTAATAAATTTAATAATGGTACACTGTTTTATACAGCAAATATATGTTGATTTTTTATTGAAAAAATAAGTTGATTTTTTAATGAAAAAATAAGTTGATTTTTTTTTATAAAAATAAGTTTAAGAAAAAAATGTAAAGATTTTACTTTTTCTCCAACCTGACCTGTGTTTAGGAATTCTGGAACCTCCCGGGTATGGAGACCCCTGTTAGTCGAAGAGTTCTGATGGTTGTTCTACAAAATGTTACAGCTATTTTAGTCAAGGCTGCACAGAATGGCCATACCACCAACGCTGAGTAAACTGGTTTTTAAATTACTCCTTCAGTACATCACATCAGTACATCAAGACATCACATTAGTACAGAATTTTATCAATACATCAATATATTAGCATATGAAAATCATCTACATAATTTTATCAATACATCAATATATTAGCATATGAGCATCATCTACTATTAGAACCGCTCTTTTTTAATACAAAAAAATATCTATTAATGAAAGAAATATTATAAAATTGTTAAAAATTATAAAGAATGTATAGAATTTTGATTAGACCTAGATCTTACTATACTAAACAAACGAGTTATTTTCTAATCTCATCCACTTCCTGTTGTCCAGGATTGACTCAGTGACCATCCAGAAGGCAGTGCCGCAGAAACCTGGGGACAGGAGCACTGACCTGGCCTGGGGGGTGGAGCTGTGTGAATGTTCAGACAGATACAGCGGTGAATCTTGTCAGGTAGAAACTGTTGAGATACATGTCATCTAATTGAAAAAACATTGTTTGTATAGCATACATATGGTACTTTCATCCAGATAAAAGATGTTAGAATAGCATAAGAATGACATATTTAATTAAATAATCTTCTAATTTATTCCATTAATGCGGAAATATTTAAAGCTTTTAATCTCTTTTTAAAATAGATTTTATACCTCATTAACATTAAATTTATTATGAATCAAAATTTTAAGATCACCATTCTTGTTATCAATTTGAATTGTAAAATCTGAATAAAGTTATAAAACTTAGCTTAGTTAGTTTTGAAGAGAAGTTGAATCTTAAAAAAAAATCTCTTGACAGAAACCAGGTGCTGGGTTCTATGTCCCTGCCCACCCTGTACCAGACATCAATGTCACCAAACCTGAGACAGCCATTGGTGAAATCAAGAGGTGTCGCTGTCACCAACACAGCAACACCTGCGACCCTGAAACAGGCAGATGTTATGTAAGTCATCCCACGCAGCACAGATATCTGTATCTGTTTTAAAAGAAAACTTTTGTAGCAGTGTAAAATCCAATGCTGAATAACATTTCCTATGCTGGGGCATAGACCACCAACCACAGCTGACCACTAGTTCTCTTTAGACTATACCTGACTGGTTTTATTTTTAGATTGCTGTGTTTAGACTATAGGTGACTGGTTATGTTTTATACTGCGATGAATAGTCTATAACTGACTGGTTTCATTTTGAACTTGTGTTTCATACTATAGCTGAACAGTTTCATTTTGTACTGCTGTATTTTAGACTGCAGCTGTTAGTTTCATTTTTTTAATGCCTGATTTAAGAGTAAAGCTGAGCAGTTTTGTTTTTATACTGCTGTATTTTAGGGTATAGCTGAAAGTTTTATTTTGTACTGCTGTATTTAAGACTATAGCTGAGCTATTTTATTTTCTTCTGCTGTATTTCAGAATTGTCAACACAACACGACTGGGCACATGTGTGAGATCTGTGCTGATGGATTTTTTGGGACTGCCACTTCAGGGACACCATCAGACTGTCAGCCATGTACCTGCCCTCTATCTGTTCCATCCAACAAGTTAGTTGTTGTATCTCATGTACCTGCCCTCTATCTGTTCCCTCCAACAAGTTAGTTCTTGCTTCAATATCTTTGCTCTTGTTGTATCTCATGTACCTGCCCTCTATCTGTTCCCTCCAACAAGTTAGTTGTTGCTGTAATATCTTTGCCCTTGTATCTCAAGTAAATGTTCACTTCCAGATGTTGGTTACAATCCCAGATATGGCCTTAAGTTTAAAAACAGCTAAACTAGAGAACTGTAATCAAACTGTGTTATTATTTCAATCAATATCTCAAAAAAATATATTAACCAGCATTCCTGTTTTTGTCCAGCTTCAGCCCAACATGTATTGGTGGCAGAAATGGGGTCATGTGTACAGCTTGCCAGGAAGGCTATTCTGGCCAACGCTGCCAAAGGTAAATTTGTTTATAACGTGCATCAACTCAACACTTGTTAAATGTGTTTTGTCAATTATTTAACTTAACATTTCTCAACCAAATAATATTTTCAAACCATTTAGGGAAATTTTTGTTTACAAACTGTTTTCTCAATGTTTTTTTTTAAAATATAATATTTGTGCTTGTAATTTTTTTTAGAATAGTATATATTTTTATATATTTTTAAAATCTATGTGATGAATGAATAAAATTCTCTACTTTAGTTGCACCTCTGGGTATTATGGGAACCCACAACAAATTGGTGACACCTGCAAACTCTGTCACTGTAACCCCGACGGCTCCACAGGATTAGTCTGTGACCCAGTTAGTGGACAGTGTCCTTGTATTGGTGGGATTAGTGGACGGAAATGTGATGCTTGCACAGACCCGACGTTTGGCGTCCAGAATGGAAAGTGTGTGTGTAAGTCATGAGGAAATGAGAGTTATTCTTTTATTTAGCTGCCACAGTAGGAAGGCCATTAACTATACAAAAATACAGGATTCTCTTTTAGGCTTGTCCAGAACATAGATTAGATCAGTTTTCTATTTCCTTGAACGTGGTACATGAAGGTATTTTGTGGTCAGCACCAGGCCCAGCCACCCTAAGTCTGGTATCCATCAGAGATGGGGAACTCAGGAATGCCCTATTGACTTGAGACTGAGAACCAAAGGATAGCATTTGAATTCTCTGCCTTTTGAGCATGCTGCCTGTATCACATTTGAGTCATTCATAACCCAGTTAGCAGTCACCTTACCCTAATCTGACTTCAACAGTCACTTGACTGTGGGATGATATTATTAAAAAAAAATATATTAAAAAAAAATTGTTCAGTTGAAAAGTTCAGGCAAACTTGAAAACAAATATTACAATTTATTTTAACTGCATGAACTAGTGTAAGACATTTGTTTATGTTTTTCCTTCTTCAGCTTGCTACACTGGATGTACTGGCATTTTGCTGGATGACTTAAGAAAGATGACCTTGCCACTGGTTAACATAAATGTCTCAGGCGCCATCTACCCCTGGGAGAAGTTGACCAAATTAGATAATGAAGTTGACAGACTAAGGGTAATACGTTTTATACACGTTTTGTTAAAGTTTCTTTCATAGATTTAACCCCTTAATGCCTGAATTATGTTCCAAGCGTGTAAAAAATTATTTGTGCTGATTTTCTCTCATCATACTGACACTGAATTTGAGGTATATAGTTGTTTTTGAATTTTGACTTATTTTTGATGATAATTACGGTATGTCGCGAAAACGCGACATCAGGCACTTATGGACCAAACAGTAATTTAACTTTTTTTTAGTCCGGGTCATTTTACTATTTTTACTGTCACATGTTTCTCTAAATATCCATGCACAAACAATAAAATATCAAAAACTAAACATACGGACATGCAAGGAGATGTAGAATCACTTGCAAAACTCATGAAAACTATATTTTATTAGCTCAGGCATAGAGTTACATAACTCTGCTTCACCTGCTCACTGACTAACTCTTATGAATAGGTATTTTGATGTCTTGCTGTCGTAATTCTACTACACTGCAGTAACACACTACATATGGAAGGACTTCCTTCAATGTGTGGAGCCTTAGTTGTCCCCGGTTACGTAATTTTCGTGAACTCTTATTCAAGGTCAACTAATAAAGACGCATATTTCTCATTTGACCTATATTTGCTATACACACAAATCACGTGAACAAATAATGTCCTAAATGACAGTGTTCAGCCATTGTATATTCGTCCATGCTCAATGCAGCTGCTGTGGGTACTTCGTGTCACTGCTGTGGGTACTCAGTGCCACCGGTGTGGGTACTCACTGCTATTGTTGATGGTACCCTATGTTTCCAATTCGTGCTACGGCTATTGTTCTCAACTGATTCTGATATTGATTACCAAACACAGTGCTGTAGCTACATATTGCCACTGCTATGGGTACTCAGTGCTGAAACAGTGGGTACTGAGTGTTGAAGCCATGTGTACTTAGTGCTGAAGCTGTGGGTACTCACTCTTGAAGCTGTGGGTACTCAGTGTTACTGCAGTCGGTTCTTGGTGTCACTGCTGTGGGTACTCAGCGCTGGAGCTGTTGGTTATCGATAACGTTGATATAGGTACTCATCCTTAGCAGTGGGTACTCAGTAGCACTGCTGTGAGTGCTTATTGCTCAAACTGTGGTTGCTCAGTGTCACTGATGTTGGTACTCAGTGCTGAAGATGTGGGTACTCAATAACACTGCTGTAGGTACTAAATGCCAGTATAATGCCACGAATGTGGTTATTCAATAGCACTGCAAAGGGTATGTGTGTCAGCACTCAACCTTACTGTATTTATTACGAGGTGTAGGTCTATGCTCAATGTAATTATTGTCAAGGTCACTGTGAAGACCTTTATTTGGTGGTATCCAGGATAGTGGCCCACCACCTCACTTCCTGTTGTCTATTTTGTTTTTTATGTTCTCCTAATATTATACAACACTATTTCAAAGCTAAATTCGTTATATTGTACCCAGCAACATGATCACATTATTCAAGCATCACTCTCTCTCCATATGCTAATATCAATGAAACAGGTGAACTCTACTTCACCTACCACATGGTCCGTAACGTTCTAAAGTGCAGTTTTATATATAGGCGAAGACCATATTGTAAATACTTTACTTATTTAAAATCATACTTGAATGAATGACAGCTTGGCGATGCATCGTATTTCGTTATACCTGCTTGGCACCCAAGTTCCATTTTATGTCTAAATGCCGGATGTCGCGAAAACGCGACAAACCGTAATTAGCAGATAACTTCCAAAATTATTCTCATATGTGATTTATATTGTTTATATACATAAAAGAATGAATAATAAAGCTATTAGTATTTTTTGTAGAAGAAGCGGATCACCTATTTAGTAATAATAATCAATGTAAGTAGGCTGAATTCACGAAGTCAAAAAAATTACGATGCGCGTGAGTCAAGAGAGTGTGACGTCATAAATTTCGACTTGACAACGTGACCGCTGGTACCAATACAACCGTCTGGATGTACCCAATACACAACGACCGACAGCAGTAGGATAAATGTACATATGCGCAAATGCTATGCGCTAAATCGGTATGTCGCGAAAACGCGACTGTCGGCGTTAAGGGGTTAAGGAAATGCATTTTAATTCGTATTTTTAAATTCAAATTATTATTATATATTTTAAACTTTATTATTATATGGTTTGACCAAACAAATTTTAATTATGTAACAAGTTAAATTTATTCCAATTCAATCTTTGTTAAATTAAGATATAAGAGAGTGTAGACATTTCTTGCTAATGTTTTTTTCTGGTTTATTCCAGGAGAAATTAAGTTTAGCTGAGGCTGCAGGGATTAAAGAGCTGGACAGCATGAAAGAAAGTGCTGACCGCTACAACCTCTTGGCAGATAACCTGCTGACCAGGGTTTGTTCAATTACATTTTTTCCTTTCTGTCTCTCTCAGAAGTCTGTCAGTTTTCAAATTATTTTTTTAGAATTTGTTCCATAAACATTATTAATTTCATAAATTCTACTTAATTCGTATGATTAGTTCTATGAATATTATTATCTTTATAATTTGTATTTATTTATAAGAAAAAGAAACAAAAAACAAAATTCAGGCTACCCGACAGACTTCTACATTTGTATATATGTAAATATATTTATATATGTATGTAAATATATTTATATCAGAATATTGTACCTTTATAAATCCCCATGTATCAAATGTAAACTACAATCGAAGGATTTTAATTCATTAACTGCACAACATTCAACATATTTATTTGAACTAATTTACCAGTACTTATAATTTTTTAATACAGAATTTTAAAAACTATCACAATCAAAGTTTCATTCTTTGATTAACTTAAATATTCTTAAGTTAAGATTTGACTTTTTAGAAGTGCATAGTATTGAAACATTTTTCCAAAAAAAAGTCTTCACTATAGATTCTGGATGTAAAAATTTTAAAATCAACTTCAAACTGGTGTTTTTTTTAGTGTTATTATAACATTTATATACACTACACAGGAAGAGAGTTTCTATTTAATTCTGCATGTTTAAAAATAGCAACATAACATTAAACTAATATATTTAAAAAAAAATATGGTAACTCTTATCTACACCAACTCATTAATCAAATATAAAATATTAATTTACATACTTAACCTAAATTTTGTTGTGGATTGTTGGTTCATTATGCAACGTATCCTCTATGTAAGGGTGTATGTAACCTGTAATTTGTGTGATCTATTTTTGTTTTGTCTAGAGCACTTACACAACTCAGACAGAGGTAAGAGATTTGTAGCTTGCATGCTCTGTGTGTGGTTCTTGATGAACTCTCACAGTAATTCAGCCTTTGCCTCTCCTTGTGTTTAATATTTAACAAAACAATGCCTCTATCAATTCGTTTTTATTGGGGTTTTTGAATAACCTGTGCATGGTTGTTTAAAAACATGAATCACATTTTTCCTTAAGCTTTGTTTTCAATTTGCAGATTTTGATTTCAAATAATGTTAGTTGATAGAAATCACAATTAGATGTTGGTTTTAGTGTTAAAAATGTTATTGTATCTTGCATTTACCATGATCAAATGCTTGCACTCAGAGCTTAATATTAATTTTTTTTTTGTCAGAATAATTTGCGCTTGGTTTGCAATAACTATCAATCGTAGATTCAAAAATTTTAATTTAAAAAAGTTATCTGCCTAAAAATAAGAAAGCAATTTAAAAAAGTTTCTTGAGTAGTATTGTAAAATAAATACTTTCACAAATTAACTTTGAGGTAAGTTATAATTGCTGCTATTTTATAGACGTAAAGAGTGGTTATAACAAACATGATTTAGAATTAAAAAAAATATCTGTTGACTGTTATCTCTTTACAATGTAAAACTCAAATTTAACAAATTTATGGTCAATGTTTTGCTTTTTCACTTGTTTTGTTGTGTCAGCATCTTCATTTTCAGCACTTTTGGTGACTATTCTTAAAGATCTTATATAAAGTTTAAAATTAACCAAAGAATAGATCTAAGAAAACTGTAAAATCAATTGAGCGATTGTTATTCATTAGAAAGTATGTAGTTAATAAAAATATGTTTTATTAGCTTTATTTTCCTCTACTATATTTTCTGTTCTTTTAATAAACAATGGAAAGAGGATATAAATAACAAGTTCAATTTAAGATAGGGCTATATTTTTCATATTTGGAGATGTTTATTATGAATTTTTAAAATTAAAGCAGCATTAGTACCAGTAATATTTGCAAATATATGTTATAAAACTATTTTGGCTTTTAATTAATTTTTTACATGCTGCCCCAATTAGTCAGGTAAAAATTTCTCTATTTTATCAAGTTTTGAAAATATGTTTTAAGTTCACTAATTTTTTTAACCTATTAGGGTTACATTAGTTTAGAGGCTATGTTGAAAAAACATTTGTTTAGAGACTATGTTTTAAAAAAATTATTGGGATGACTATTTCTTCTTCCATCAGGTAAACACCACTGGAGCTGAAGTTCACAAAGTGAAAGATCAGTCACAACAGCTGCGGAAAAATGCTTCTGACATGGAGGCAGTAGTCATGAAAACATATGCAGATATTCAGAGTTAGTTCCCTTTATATTCTTATGAAGCCTAATTTTTAAAATTTCTTGACATTTGTACAGAACATTAGACACAACTAAGCATCCTTTTTGTGTGCGTTGTTATTTGATGGTTTCAGTGCTTACAATGTCTTGAAATAAGAGTTGAGTTTTAAGGTTCTATTCACAGGGCTAGTTGATGAACTGCAGGGACTGGTTGAAAGGGTTTTGGTCAATAAAACTGGGATCAACATGACCTCAGCTCTGAACAGTGCCAGGAAAATTCTGAATGAGATTCAGGGCAGGAATTTCACACCTGCTAGCGATGCTACCCAGAGGGAAAATAGGTGAGTTGCTGATTACCTTCTCTAGCTGGTGCTTGTACCCCACTACCTCACTTCTAACTTTAACACAAATCAATAACTATTAGACAAGAGTAGGTCATAAATTTAAATTAGTCTTTTTTGTTTCAAATACATTTATTAACACAAATCAAGAGTTTTTGATAGACCGGAGTAGGTCATACAATTAAATAAGTGTTTTTTTGTTTCAAATAAATTTATTAATACAGATCAAGAATTTTTGATAGACAAGAGTAGAGTATTGGTGTTATGGATAATATTGTTATATCACCCATCAAACCTTCCATGTATTTTCCAAAGAGATAACTTATTTTTCTCTTCTGTAATAGATTGGCTGAAGAGTTGTCCAATCGGATTAAAGAGATCCAAAAAAATACAACCAATGATGTCTCAATCATAGAGTATGTGCTTTCTGATCTAAGAAAGCGGTTGGAGGACTTGCTGGACCAGTCAAAACTGGCAGAAGATACTTCAGTTCTGGCTATGGAGAGGATTGAAATACTCAAGGTTTGTTTCGTACAGTTTTAGTTGGTTGATTGCTAGACAGCTTTTTATAAAAATGTAATGTTTATTTCATACACTTTTAGTTGCTATTTATTAATATTTTAAAAAAAATGTGTGATTTGTTTCAGACACATTTTGATAAATATATTGCTTTCTTTAAAGGCTATAGTTTGATGTATGCTAAATGGTTTTTAAAAATAAGGAACATTGAATAAAAAATTTTTTTAATTTCAAAAATAAAAAATTGAATGAATTGTTTAGACCAGGTGTCTCCAAACTACGGCCCGCAGGCCGGATGCGGCCCGCGAGGTCATTTTATCCGGCCCGCCACGATCTTTTTTGTTCACTGAATAAATGTTTGTTAGAGGTGGCTGAGGAGCTTTGCACAGAAAATTCAAAACTTTTTGAAAATATAGCTTTGGGTGCAAATACAATTACTCGCCGTGTTGTAGACATTGGTGAAAACATTGTGATTCAAATAGCGAAAAATTCAAGCAAGTTTCGCCATTTTTCAATTGCAATAGATGATTCGCTGGACAGCTGTTCTACCTCTCAAGTTCTTGTGTTCATTAGAGGTGTGGATGAAGACCTGAACATAACACAAGAGCTGGATTCCCTACCCTACCGAAGAGGATATCTAACCATAAATAGTTCAGAGACAAACACAAAATCGCAAGATTTACTATATTTAAGATTGCTAATTTTGCGAGAAAATTCTGAGCTTGAGTATCTAAGATGAAGAGTGGGTATAGAAATTGGCCTCTGCTGCAGACATAACTAGTCATTTAAATTTTCTGAACCTAAAACGGCAAGAGAGTGAAATCTAGTTTCTGATCTATTCACCCGCCTAAAGGCCTTTAGATACAAACTTGTCATGTTTTTGGAACAAGTACAGGCTAACAACTTAACACACTTTCAGCAGTGCAAGGTCTTTACGGTTGAAGCAACCACTGAGTTCCCCACGTCATTTACATACGAGATCGTTAAAGACCTCTAGTTGCATTGAATTGCAAGAAAATGACTTCCTTAGAGACACGTTCAAAGAAGGGCGGATGGGTTTTCTTACGTTTTAGCACAAGGAAGACTTTCCTAACATTAAAACTTTTGCATCAAAGTACCTTTCAAATTTTCGAACAACGTACCTGTGTGAACAAACATTTTCAAGAATGAAATACGTGAAGAACAATTTGAGAACAAACGTGGACCTTGGGTGGGGGAGGGGTGGGGGTGTGGGTGGACACTTGAAATTTGTATATATTTCTATATAAATTATATTTCGTTGGAGGGGGGGGGGGGGGGAAGGGGGGAGACGTGCTTCGGGGGGGGGGGGGGGCGCCACGACCCTGAAGAGATGCCTTAAAGAAACTCTGGCCCCCGAACTGATATTTGATAGTTAATGCGGCCCTCGGGCTGAAAAGTTTGGAGACCCCTGGTTTAGACTATGGTTTTTGTACTGTGATTATTAAAATAAAAAAATACATTTATTTTCCTCACAGAGGCTTCTGAAAGATTTGAAAAAATTGAATGAATTGTTTAGACTATGGTTTTTGCACTGGGATTATTAAAATAAAAAATACGATTATTTTCCCCACAGAGGCTTCTGAAAGATTTGAAAAAATTGATGGATCAGATAAAAAAGTTGGAAGAGGAGTCACTCTCTTCACTGAGCAAAGCCCAGGAACTTTTAGACAAAGCAGAAACCAACCTTGTTGTGAGTGTCTTTCATTGCAGCATACAGTCTGGTTGTTTGATAGTTCTTTGTTATAAACATTGTCTTAAACTTAGTCTTGGTTGTTAGAGAGTTCTTTATTATAAAGTTGTCTTAAACTATTTGAGAACAAGATAGTACAAGATGCTGTGGTGTGTTTAACCTTGACCCTTTGTGCCCCCAGACTTCCACAGGTCAGAACAACATGCTGGACACGTGGCTGGAGATGCTGGCAGCAAATGTCAGCAAACTGGCCAGTCCACTGCAGAAGCTGAACATTCTGGTCAGGGAGGTGTATGCCCATGTTGACAACTTGAAGCTTCTGGCCAAGGAGATCAAGGAGTGAGTACAACTCAGTGTTAGACTTGGTACTTAGGAGTGAGTACAACTCAGTATTAGACTCGCTACTTAGGAGTGAGTAGAACTCAGTGATAGACTCTAAAAAAATATCTTATACATTGATTCAATTTTTTTTTTCTGATTTAAAACACAAATGAGGTATATATCTAGTTGAACTTGTTTCAAAGAGATGTATTTAGGTAATTTATGTCTGGAGGTGGCATGTTTAAAAAGTTGGCTTTCGGATCTGGTGCCCCATGAAGCAGGTAAAGCAGAGTTAACCTGTTTATGTGACATCAGCATATTAAGGGATAGTGTGGTCAGCATTATGCACATCGTCTTTACTTTTCTCAACATAGGTCAGATACACAACAAAGCTGGGTGGATTCATGGATGTGCTACTCAGGCTATTGCCTGTAGGTTAACAACATCAGCTAAAGGGGTTGTAGTGAAAATGAACAATAATATGCAAATAAACTGATTGCATTCCTAAGATAAAAAAGTTTTGTTGAATTGTCAAACTTGAATTTTAACACACTCAAAATCCTATGAGCATATATGTTATTGCTAATGAGAAACAGGGTTCAGTTAACAATGTTTGGTCAAGTCATGTTAAACCATGTCCAGTAATTTCAGCTGGTTTTTTCATACACAACTGAGTATTGACTCAAACCAATATTGTGTTACTCATTTCATAATGCCAAAATGTTGACATCCTCCCTCTCCCATGTACATCCTACCTCTCCTGTGTATATCTTCCATCTTATGTTTACATCCAACCTGTGTCCATCCTTCTGTGTCCAGCCTGTTTGCCAAAACCAAAGGCCATGCGGAGAATGCTGTCAAAGCATCCAGTGCATATAAGGACATTGTGGATGCTATCCAGCAAGCCAGGAAAAGTGCGCTGGATGCACTCAGGGATGCAACAGAGTCCAGGGACATTGTAAGAATATTTTTCAGCAGATTTTTACATTGTACTGTAAATTTTCTACATTATACATTCTAATGAACAATTTAACATTCACCTTAAGCATATTCCTACCTTTGTATTAAATATGCTACAAGAACTATGTTAACTAAAATTGTTAACATTTTGTTGACATTTTGTGGATGTGGTCTACAGGCGGATGTGGATAGGTTGAAGAGAGAAGTGAACAGGCTGATTGCTAAAAGTAGGGAACAACTGGACACATCAAACAGCCTGCTCAACAACTCCACAGGCAAGTCTAAACTTTCTCTAATTTTATTTTCATTTAGATGAATGCTTTAAGAATACTACATCACGTACTAAAGCTAACTAAAATTACTCAAACAACAACCCTCTCATGTTGGGTGGTCATCTGTAAATATCCCAAGGATGTAATCAGCTGAATTTAGAACTTGCTTTCTAACCAGAGAATTTACTTTTTTCTTAATTGTGCCTCCCCAAGGAGGTGTCAAGGTGAGACATCAACACAGTTTGATGCTACTTTTTAAAACACAAGCCATGAAAATCCAGCCTCTCCCATCTGCCTTATTCCCTAATGACATTTTTGGTCAGCCCCTCTTGCTCATTCCCTGTGGGTTCCATACGAACACCTGTGTAGTGGTGTTTTTAAATGCCTTTCAGAAAGTCTGGCTTACCCACCCTCAATTCCTTTCTTACAAACACTCCCAGGTTGTAAATTTTATCTGGCCAATGTAGTTAAAAAATGTGTATAAAAGACCTATTCATGAATCTCTGAAGCTTGTTTGTTTCTAACTTGGTTACCCTCCACATCCCTGAGCCTTAATGTTTGTGGACATGTACTAAAATCACAGTGTCATTGAACTTGTGTACCAATTTATACAAGTTTTGTTTTCTCACAGTCTTAAACAACAAGCTGTCAGACATTCAGTCAGAACTTGATGACGCCGTCGTAAAGCATCAGGACAACCTGGCAGACTGGAATGAGGTGGACAGGAAGCTCAAACAGTTGCCCAAAGGTAGGTCAACTCATAGGTCAAACAGTTGTCCCAATGTAGGTCAACTCATGGGTCAAACAGTTACCCAAAGGTAGGTCAACTCATGGGTCAAACATTTGTCCCAATGTAGGTCAACTCATGGGTCAAACAGTTACCCAAAGGTAGGTCAACTCATGGGTCAAACAGTTGTCCCAATGTAGGTCAAATGGTGGGTCAAACAGTTGCTTAAAGGTAGGTCAACTGATTGGTCAAACAGTATGAATGTAGGTCAACCCAAAGATCAAACAGTTACCCAGATGTAGGTCACCCTAACAACTACACAATTATTTGTCCAGTTTAATTTTTTTACTGCCCATTAAACAACCAATGATAAATTGACATGCTGTAACTCCCCCAACTCTCCAGATATCAAGCAAAATATAAATGCTGTGGCTGAGGAGACAGCCACTGCCAATCAAACAACCACTGCTGCTCTCAACATTTACAATAAACTGAAGGATGCTGTCGACGCCATGAAGAATAGAACGTCAGGTGGCAAGCCTGACCTTTCTGATGTGGACACTGAGCGTACGTAACATTTCTTCAAACTTCACTCATTTATGGATTTTCTTTCTGCTTTTGTGTGTGATATTTAATTGATATAGGCGAACACGTACTATAAATTGTTATTTAATTGATAACTTTGACACCTAAATGATAGGCATAACCTAAATGAGCACATATAAGTGAAAAATATTTTGGTTAGAATCTCATTTCATGTTAGCTCTTTGTTAACCCAGACATATTCAACTTTTATTTTTGTGTACATAGATTTGAGATTTATAAAATTCTAAAGGTGATTTAAGAACTTTGTTAGTGACTAATGCTTTCTTCTTCTTCTTCGTTCTTAATTTTTTAGTGTTGGGAGGGATCGAGCCTTATCTGCCTATTAGTGACTAATAATTTTAACTTATGTAAACTTAAAAAAAAATTATTATATTATGATTATAAATATAGTTTTTAAACATCTGTTTGATGCTGTAGTGGCAAGAGCTTTGGAGGCAGAAAAAGAAATTTATGAACTGCATAAACTCAAGCAAGATACAGATAACAGGCTCAATGCCCTGAGCAAAAACTTGTCTGATGTCACAGTGGATTTAAAAAATCTGACAGAGAAGATCCGAGATGCTAGAAGCCGTGTGAATGAAGTGAGTATGTTATAAAAAAAACATTCGGAATTCAGCCATAATATATATTACGCACACATTTTGAATGGGTTAAAAGTAAAACAAAATTTAATCGTATTTAAATTTATTTAATATATTTACATTAAAACCATACAATATAAATAAAATATTGTTTGGTTTCTATACAGAATTTTAAAAATTAAATTGACCAGAAACTGTTATTGATATTACTATTATATTTGTTTAGTTGACAAAATTTTCCTGTTTAACGCTGCTTGAACAGATACCAGGTGAGGTAAAAAGCCTTGCCTGTCCAGTATTGTCATAGTCATCTCTATCATTTCCTGAACAATTTAGTCACTTCAAGCAACTTATAAAACAGTCATATTAAAGTGTACATTTTTATTCACCACTATTTAGATAAAGTTATCTTAAATTTTAATTCACCACCAATTAGATAAAATTATCTTAAATTTTTATTCACTATCAATTAGATGAAATTATCTTAAATTTGTATTCACCACTATTTAGATGAAATAATCGTAAATTTTAATTCACCACTAATCAGATGAAGTTGTCTCTGCTTGCGGACGGTCAGTGCTACCGGACATATCGGTCTCCTCTGACACCTAGCTCCACCAATGAGATCAAATTTGCCTTCAAGCTGAGTTCTCCCCCCACAGACAACATGTTGCTGCTACTGCTGCAGCAATCACCTCAGGTAAAACAACTTTCATCGCAGTTTTCATCTCTTTATTTTCAACTTTTCTGGTTGTTACATAAGTTACAAAACAGTATGTTGGAAAAAAATTCTTAATTAAAAAAAATATTGACATTTGAATAATAAAATTTTTTCATCAGTACATCTAAGCAATTGATTTGTTCTATTAATATCAGATCAGTTAATCTTTAAATGTCATTTTATATGACATAGTTACACAATTTTTTTTATTTGATGTTAATTAACTTAAAAATATTGCCTTGATCTACTGTTAACTACTTACTGTAAACCCCTTCTTAGCTATGGCTGCAGCTATGCTCATTTCCCCCTTTCTTTGTTAATTAAATGGAATGCCTTGCATGTCAACTATCTTTGCTTTTTGACTCCTAAAGAAACCTTAATTTTGGCAAGTTTCAAATACAACAGAAAACAATTTCTTGTTAATCATGTCTTTCAGTAAATAAAAAATAGCTTGAATCTGAACATAATTTTCTAGAAAATAATTTATTTAAAATGTAAAACAGAAGCCACTGACCATGCTCTGACACATTTAACTTTCTAGATGTTATTTTTCTACAGTAATTTTACAATAAAACAATTTGTTTAGTATAAATTAAAACGATTGTGTTAAACATTTGATCAACCCATGCTATGTTTAGAGTAAATTAAAACATTTCTGTTAAATCTTTGATTAAATCTTTGATGAACCCCTGTAATCTTTTATTAATTAAATCTTTGATGAACCCCTGCAATATTTTAATTAAATCTTTGATGAACCCCTGTAATCTTTTATTTATTAAATCTTTGATGAACCCCTGCAATATTTTAATTAAATCTTTGATGAACCCCTACAATATTTTTCATGCTGTAGGATGGAGGAAAGGTGAGGCTAAAGACATTTAGAGCAGTTTATTTCAAACACCTGACAGCTATTGGCTTGCCTTGATTGTCTAATTTATAAATTTTGGCACTCATTGATTGTCTAATTTATAAATTTTGGCACTTATTGATTGTCTAATTTATAAATTTTGGCATTCCTTGATTGGCTGATTTATAAATTTTGGCATTTTTTTATTGGCTATTCTAATTTATAAATTTTAGCTTTCTTTGATTGGCTCATGTAAAAAAATTTATGGTTTTACTCACATTTTATTGGCTTATCCATGGCAACAGCTGCTTGATTAAATGAAGTGATGGCTTCTCAATGCACAATCATTTACTAAAATGTGATACTCTTTTATAGAATTATTTTTATAACAATTTGTGTATTTTAATTAAAAAATTATTAAAGTTATACGTTCGTATTTATTATTAACAGTAATACTTATTAATGAAGTTGTTATATATTATACTCATATAGAAATAAACTTTCAGGCTTTCTATATTTTACTACACTATCTTCTGTACAACATCAGCATGTTGATAATTGTAATGCTTTACATAATTTTTGTTTTTATTAACAAAAGAGTTCCAATCAAATCTCCACTCACTATTTATGTTGACAACCAAAGATTAGTTATCTATTGTTCTCTGATGACAATGTGTATCATTATTTGGTGAAAGGTGTATCATCATGTTAATTTTTAAAATATTTTAAACTATTTCTACTTTAACATATTTTTTTTTTGCTTGTTAACATTTAATGACTAGGGTACAACGATTTTGGGCCAACTCAGTCGATTTATTTGTGGTTAAAAATATATACACAAAGAACATAATCTGAAGTAGTCTGATTGTTGCACCCAGCACACCTAGTATAACTTCCTGTTGAGGTTTCCCCTAGTAATTCAAATACAGTCCCTTTTTGGGTTGTGTAACATGTAACTGGTACAGTCCCCTGTTGCACATTTAAGTTATGTCCCATTTATGCTGCTTTAAAATTTTTACAAAGTCCTTTGTATTTTTTAATTTAATTTTTTTTTACACTTACTGATTAGAGATCCTATTAAATTCTCTTTAAGAATTGGTATCGAAATTTTAAAAATGAAAATTCAATATTAAATAATTAATTTCCTATTGGCAAATAGTCCTGATATTTTTAATATATGAAAACAATAAACAAGAGAAAAGTATTGAAAATAGATACATAGGTGTGTCAGTTAATTTAGAAATTACATTTTATTCTTGTAGTTAATTTTTTTCTAAATCAAATTATTTGAGTATGTTATTAGTTCCTTCCTGCTAGAAAAAGATTTTTAAAAAGTTTGCTCTGAACCAAATTATTTCTGCTCATTAGGAGTTCCTTGCTGCAGAAATTCGAGATCAAAAAGTTCGGTTCACCTGGAATTCTGGGAAAGGTCAAAAGCATGTGATACACGATCAGCAGCTGGAAGTTGAGAAGTGGTACCAGGTGCAGGCTAAAAGGTGAGACTTTGGTACCAGGTGCAGGCTAAAAGGTGAGACTTTGGTACCAGGTGCAGGCTAAAAGGTGAGACTTTGGTACCAGGTGCAGGCTAAAAGGTGAGACTTTGGTACCAGGTGCAGGCTAAAAGGTGAGACTTTGGTACCAGGTGCAGGCTAAAAGGTGAGACTTTGGTACCAGGTGCAGGCTAAAAGGTGAGACTTTGGTACCAGGTGCAGGCTAAAAGGTGAGACTTTGGTACCAGGTGCAGGCTAAAAGGTGAGACTTTGGTACCAGGTGCAGGCTAAAAGGTGAGACTTTGGTACCAGGTGCAGGCTAAAAGGTGAGACTTTGGTACCAGGTGCAGGCTAAAAGGTGAGACTTTGGTACCAGGTGCAGGCTAAAAGGTGAGACTTTGGTACCAGGTGCAGGCTAAAAGGTGAGACTTTGGTACCAGGTGCAGACTAAAAGGTGAGACTTTGACACACCTTTCATTGGCATATGCACAGGTAGCAGATCTATATCATGATCACCAGTTCTGATGAACAAAACATGTTTTACTTAAAACCTCGTCCAGCCATGAAACATTTTATTCCCCAGGATTGGATCCATTGGTCAGCTGAAAGTCTGGAGCATGGAAGACAGCACAGAGCAAAGCACAGAGACCAAAGAAGCCAACGTTGGCGTGGGATGCTCTCTCATGAACCTCAACGACAAGGCTCTTGTGGCTCTGGCTGGAACTGACAGATTAACACAGGTTTGTTTTCTTGTGGAATTCAACTTTTTAACCAGATCTAAACTCTGGTTACATAGTCATTTTTTGTGTGATCTTATATGCTTTTTTTCTGGGCATTAGAATTTATAATGGTTGGAGAGCATGATTTTGTGGTACTATCTGACTAAAATACTGATTTTAAGCCACAGTTGCCTGTAGGCAGAAGTCATAGCTAAACTCAAGAGATGTTTACATGGGCTTGTAACTAATTTGTAAATGTGTACTTGCAGACACCAGAGGGGATAACCCAGAAGAATTTTGTGGGGTGTATGGGAGAGGTTTTTGTGGACTACAACAGGATTGGTGTGTACAATTTTAAGACAGATGTGGAGAACCACTGCTCAGCCTGTACTGAAGTGTAAGTATCTTTTTAACTTCATTGTAGAGAGTTCCTTTTTAAAATTCCCTACTGAAGTGTATCTTTTTAACTTTATGGTAGAGAGTTCCTTTTTAAAATTCCCTACTGAAGTGTAAGTATCTTTTTAACTTTATGGTAGAGAGCTCCTTTTTAAAATTCCCTACTCATTATTGAATTTACACTTCTTTAAAATCAATACATTATTGTCTAATTGTTTGCCTGAATAAACTTATATTTTTTTACCATTAGTTCTACTAAATCTTTTATTATTTAACTGAGTAAACTTGTTATTTTGTACCATTAGTTCTACTAAATCTTTTATTATTTAACTGAGTAAACTTGTTATTTTGTACCATTAGTTCTACAAAATCTTATATTATTTAAATTGAGTAAATTGGTTATTTTGTACCATTAGTTCTACTAAATATTTTATTATTTAACCGAGTAAACTTGTTATTTTGTACCATTCTCCAGACCACTGCTACGCATCCGCTCCAGTAAATTATATGTTTTTGAAGGGAGAGGTTTTGCCCAATTTCCTGTCAAATACTATTCCTCCAAAAAAACAAAGATTGAAATGCACTTCAAGACTTTCTGGGAAAACTCTAGAATTTTCTTTATAGGGAACGAAGCTCAGGTAAGTCATACAGTGGGGCTTAGGTGGTTTAGTTTTTAGTGGTTTTTATACATCTTTGGATGGCTCCTCTCATAGGCCACTCTTCTGTCATCATAATAAGGTTCTTATGAGTGATTCCAAAACTTGGCTGCCTACATGTATGGTCTTGTCTGTAATGTTACATTACAATTATGCCAAAACGGGTAGGCATTTGGTTTCCTAAAAACTCTTAATTGTGGTTGGTGTAAATAAAAGGTTATTTTTATTTTCATTTTTTCTTTTGGTAACTTGTGATTTTTTTATCTGAGTTTTATATTCAGCAAGTTAAAAATTTCAGCTGTAATATATGGTAGTTTTTATAATGATGCACCTTCCACAACAACCCCCTGCTCTCCCTTTCCATCCAATGTCAAGGCCGATGTGAGTTGTTAGGTCTATGTTATGAACTTACCTTGACCCTGCAAGTTAACTATTGAATATTATAAACCTTATTCAATGAAAGACTGATCTTGCATAGATAATATCTTAATGTGAGTTGATGATCATCATTATGCTGGAAAATTGATGCTTTACTGAAAAATTTGTTTAGAGGTAGGCAGCCTTTATATTTTCCTCAGATAATATTCAACTGATTTTGTTGACAGGGTGACTTCCTGTCCATGGAGTTGAAGGACGGTCAGGTCGCAGTTCACTTTGACATGGGGGGAAGCTCTGTTGGGTTCGCTAGGACAAACAAGACGTACAACAACAACCAATGGACCACCATCATATTTCAACGCAATCTAAATAAAGGTAGTGTAACACTGCTGAATGGTTGGTAACAACAACATTATATACCAAATTATAGTCTGTTACATGTCCCCCCCTTTGTTTAAATTCTGTGCAAAAAATTTTTTGAAGTACATTACCAATAGGGCAGGATCATGCACCAGACAACAAAAATAATTATATCTCAATGAGTGGAATTAAATTAAATATAGACTAATCATTTATACTCTTACAAGTGTATAGTGCAGGACAATGCAACAGTTTATTGTTATCATATCACTAAATAAATTCCTAATGTGTAAAAATATCCATGACAACAGGATTAGACCAATTAATATTTAAAAAATGTTCCAAAACTTTATTATACAGTGGCATGAAATACAATCAACATGTTCCTATACAGAACCTTAAACAAAATCAACACTGATTTTAACCTGATGATTAAAATTTGTCTGTGTGCAAAAAAATATTTCAAAGTACATTAACATTATCTGTTACAGAGAAATACATGTTTAACAGAAAAAACATTTCAATCACCCAGTGACTGTAGTAAAAAAACTCTACATCCACTGAGTAAAACCAAGTTTAAACATGCCAATCAATTAATTTGGCACAGGACTTATATTTGTATTTATATCACACACTTGTATTACTCAGCTCCAAATTTATCACTGAAGTTTTAGTAGATAGTTCAAATACAGTGCTAGTCTTCCTCACCAACAAGGCATCCTTTATCAACATGATAGTTTCATAATTATACAAACAATCAATGCATGATTCGTATGTTTGTTTCAACCCTTATATAGGTGTCAGGGGAAGTACGTATAGCTTTAGCTTTCACACTGTCATAATTCCATTGATTATGTCAGGGGAAGTATGTATAGCTTTAGCTTTCACACTGTCAAAATTCCATTGATTACATCTACCATATCTTACTTCATTTATAGTGTAACCACAAGGTTTTTCTTCACCTTTATCTTCATTTTCTCTGGGTATCTGTATCATGTCTTCTTTGGTTTCTGACCTACATCAGTAACTTACTCTCTGGGTATCTGTATCATATCTTCTTTGGTGTCTCACCTACATCAGTAACTTTCTCTCTTTGCGTCTGCTTGCTTGCTATATATAATGTTATTACTACATCTTAGTCTTTGAGAATTATCCTTGATTTTATAGTTATTATCATGTATACCTGGAGTACTACCAATGTTTCTAGGACATGTTGAGCCCCCAGTCAACCACGGACAGTGTATTTCTGCATTGGCTTTTCTGCACTTGATAGTCAATTGATTCACTAGTCAAACATCCTGTGTTTCTCCAATGTAATCTTTCTCATCTACCCAATCTTTGTCCACTATTATAGTGGTGTAACTTGTGTCTCTTAAGATCATGAGCGGGTAATCAATACCAAATCAGCCAAAATGCTTTTTTCTAAACATAATCCTGTTATTTTTTAGCTCTTTGAGGTATGACTATATGCTAAATATAATAGCATTAGGTATAGAAATAAGCATTTTGGCTGATTTGTTACTGATTACCTGCCCCTGCCCTAAAACAATTTGTGGGTTTTCTGTGAATGTATGCAGGAAAAAATTCAAGTTTGCCTTACACATGGTGGCAATGGTTCTTGTTAATTCTTCTGTTCTGACTGTCCATTTATGCATTTAGAAGTGCTTTAATATCAATCACATCCACTCCTGCTAATTCTAACCATTTAAAGAGGTTTCCCTTTATTTTAAATATTGTAGTTCTGTCAGTTCCAGTTTCTAAGTTTATTTTCATAAATGCTATTCTGTAGTTGTCCTCTGATTTGTAATAACATGTAAGCAATTTCTTATTTATGTACTTATAGTCCTAAGAGTAATTATCACATGAAGACTTCCACCTTTTATCTTACTAGTGTGAAGGCACATCTATCGTTGTGATAATTGTTGGCTGTGGCATTGCCTTTGAATTGTAGTTAAAAGATTTCCTCCTCTGGCTTGATATCTCTAAATTTCAGGTACATAAGACTGTTATCATTGTTACTATGTTGGGCTGTTTCCCTATTGGAGTAGTCATTCGCTGAGTTTTCTTTTTAGTTTTAGCCTTCTTTTTTCTGCTTCTTTCTGTAGCTGCAGTTTTTCTTTTCCCCATGCCTTTCTTCAGCCTTCTGTCCCTGTCTCTGTCTTTTGCTTCCTTTTGGTCAGCTTTTACCCAGTCTTCTCTGTCTTTTGTTTCCTTTGCGTCCTTTTTTTCTTTTTCTCTCAAGAAAGCCTTTCATTTGCATATTCTATTTATAGCCTAAGACCATGTATGATATATGCAAAAGAGGAAATATTTTATTCTGAAATAGTTATAATAATTTATGATCTAATGATTATTAGTTTACAATATATTTCTATTAATTAAATTATAATATCCTGTTTTTGAGAATTCTTGAGACATTAAAATATCACGATGAGTGACATTAAAATATCACGATGAGTAGACAATGTCAACAAGAATGTTAATACAACTGCTGACATTAATTGAAAATATCACGATGAGTAGACAATGTCAACAAGAATGTTAATACAACCGATGACATTAGAATGTCATGATCAGTAGACAATGTCAACAAGATTGTTATACAACTGCTGACATTAATTTAAAATATCACGATGAGTAGACAATGTCAACAAGAATGTTAATACAACTGATGACATTAGAATGTCATGATCAGTAGACAATGTCAACAATAATGTTATACAACTGCTGACATTAAAATGTCATGACGTACAATTCTGACACTATCAGTAGTCTATTGTCATGACGCTTGCATGTAATAGCCACTTCTAATAGGAGCATTACTGCTGCATTAGAAGAACACTTCATAAAGTTTATAGTTGTCTCATGAGCCATTTTGTTGTGTTTATAGTTGTCTCATGAGCCATGTTGTTGTGTTTATAGTTGAATCATAAGCCATGGTGTTGTGTTTATGGTTGGCTCATGAGCCATATTGTTGTGTTTATGGTTGTCTCATGAGCCATTATGTTGTGTTTATAGTTGTCTCATGAGCCATTTTGTTGTGTTTATAGTTGTCTCATGAGCCATGTTGTTGTGTTTATAGTTGAATCATAAGCCATGGTGTTGTGTTTATGGTTGGCTCATGAGCCATATTGTTGTGTTTATGGTTGTCTCATGAGCCATTATGTTGTGTTTATAGTTGGCTCATGAGCCATATTGTTGTGTTTATAGTTGTCTCATGAGCCATATTGTTGTGTTTATGGTTGTCTCATGAGCCATTATGTTGTGTTTATAGTTGGCTCATGAGCCATGGTATTGTGTTTATAGTTGCCTCATGCCCCATGGTGTTTTGTTTATAGTTGAATCATGAGCCAAGGTATTTACTGTGTAAAATCTACAGCTCCCCATGTTATTTTTTCAGCTGTTCTGAAGGTGAATGATGAGAGCATCTCTATAACATCTTCCGGAACATCCACTGGTCTTGACCTCAATGGAGCAACCATGTTTTTTGGTGGTATACCCAGGGAGCTAGTGGTGGACAAGTTCAAGGGACTGTAAGGAAAATTTTAATTTTTTTAATGTAAAAAGATCAAAAGCTGATCATACTTTATCAAAATATAATATTAATTTTATCTGTTTGAGATGATGTTTTTTTTTAAGCAACTTGTATCATTATTTGACCTGGATCATTAAACTTGTATCATTATTTGACCTGGATCATTATCTTCACAATGTGACTGACCATCCCACTATGTTGTTGTTTGACCAGCAATGCCTCTGACTTTTTCTACGGCTGCATGAGGGACATCATCTTTGATACCAGCCCACCTGAAGAGGTGGGGAGTGTCCTCAACAACGTCCAGACCAGCTCAGGTTGTAGAGAAAATGTGAGTCAACCTTTGTACCTGTGTCAACCTTTGTACCTGTGTCTATATTTGTACCTGTGTCAACCTTTGTACCTGTGTCTATATTTGTACCTGTGTCTATATTTGTACCTGTGTCTGTCTTTTGTGTGTCTATCAGTTACCTGTCTTTTTTCTTACCTTTGTCTATCTTATTACCTGTTTCTAACACCTTATCCCAAATTCTTGTGCTCTAGCCTTTATGCTAGTCCACTCCAGTTTTGTATTTATCTTTTGGTACATTGACTTGTGAAGCTATTACCACACTTAATTTATAAGAATCTCTGATGTTATTTTATGTTTTTATTACACAGTTTAAGGGATCTACTAATGAAACCACCAGCTATACAATGTGTTTGTTTATTATGAAATTAATTCCTGTCCATCCCCAGGGCATTCACTCTGTAGATTTCAGGGGCGATGGTTATCTGCTCTTGCGAAGTGAGCACATTGAATTTGCAGCTGTCACCAATGATGTGTCACTGACATTTGTCACAAAGAAAGAAGATGGTGTCATCCTAGTAGCCAGAGATATTCCCTCAGATGTGAGTCCAGAGAAAATAAATGTAATCTATCCGTCTTTACTTACATTTTTTAAACACTAAAATGGTGAAAATATTTTCTGAGAAAACTTTTTTCTTTTATATTTGCTTTCAAAATTTTCTGAATACAATATTTCAGAATTTTTATTCTATGTCCATCTAAAATTTTTTAGAATTTTTATTCCTTTACATTTTTCAGAATTTTTATTCCTTGTCTATCTAACTTTTTAGAATTTTTATTCCTTGTCAATTGTTGGGGGACAACTTGAGGCCAGATTCCAGAATTCCAACTCGCAGAAAGTTGTGCTAAAATCTACAGATAAGTTCAACGATGGGGAGATGCACTGTGTCTCATTAATTAAATCTTCCAATCAGTAAGTTAAGTTTGTTTATAGTGTCAGTAAGTTTGTTTACAGTCTGGTGTCTATCAGCTATGGCTCTCAGGCCTACTTTCACTTCTTTGAACAATAGCCAGAACAATATTTTTTTTAAAATCCAGATTTTTATTAATAGAATTGTAAAATATTATTTTATAATGATTTAGTTTTTCAATAGCCAACACACATCTTTGATTTTCAATAAGAAGATGTAAAAGTCATTAATGTAATACTTATTAAAACACTGGGCTTAAAATATTTGGACTTTTTAGACTGTTATATTATAAAAACAGGATCCTATTTCTAATATATTGCATGCATACATTTAATTAATTAATTTAAAAAAAAGTTTTGTTTTAAATTTTTATATATTTAAAAATATTTTTAAAATTTAAGGCAGTAGACTTGGGACAAAATGGTTTTAAAAAAGTCTGAAACCTTTTTGACTCTCAGAGCCTACTTGTTAGAAGATTGAACATGTTCAGGGATGTTTCTGTTTTTTTAACAATTTTGACTTGACCTTGACCTCCCAGAGAGGTGGAGCTGGTAGTTGATGATGTTGCTGTGGACAAAAAGACAGCGGTCAGCATTGGCTTCAATAACAGTGGAGATTTATACCTGGGAGGCTCTCCGACAGATATCCTCTCTATGGGGGTTGTGCCTACGGATGCCAAGCTGGATGGTTGTGTCAGTGATGTCATTGCCAATGGGGTGTAAGTGTAACATTGTGGTGTAAGTGTAACATTGTGGTGTCTTTGGGGTGTAAGTGTAACATTGTGGTGTAAGTGTAGCATTGTGGTGTCTTTGGGGTGTAAGTGTAACATTGTGGTGTCTTTGGCAATGGGGTGTAAGTGTAACATTGTGGTGTCTTTGGGGTGTAAGTGTAACATTGTGATGTCATTGCCAATGGGGTGTAAGTGTAACATTGTGGTGTAAGTGTAACATTGTGATGTCATTGCCAATGGGGTGTAAGTGTAACATTGTGGTGTAAGTGTAACATTGTGATGTCATTGCCAATGGGGTGTAAGTGTAACATTGTGGTGTCTTTGGGGTGTAAGTGTAACATTGTGGTGTCTTTGGGGTGTAAGTGTAACATTGTGATGTCTTTGCCAATGGGGTGTAAGTGTAACATTGTGGTGTCTTTGGGGTGTAAGTGTAACATTGTGGTGTCTTTGGGGTGTAAGTGTAACATTGTGATGTCTTTGCCAATGGGGTGTAAGTGTAAATTAGGTGTAACATAGCCAGTGGTGTTTTAGTGTAACTGTAATGTTACAGCCAATGTCATTTATATCTAACTTTTTACTCTGTTTTGTTATATCATTTCTGTTTGTCTACGATTCAGTCCATTTATCAACTCTTTCTGAAGGACTTGATTACTTTTTAAACTTAGTCCCGGTTTAATGAAGAAAATCCAATATCTGACCTAACTCTGGCTATGGTTAAGCCATTTGAAATGTCACTCATGAGCCAAGTCTAGTCTTTTACCGATCTGAGGACTCTTTAAGATAAAGCTTGTGTTCTATATGAATGGTTATGATGGTTATATTTTTTTTTAATTGCTTCCTAAGATAAACTAGAGATCGTTTAATTTAGAAATAAGCTACTAATTAGTGCCAGAGGTCAAAGTTCACCATGTTTTTCAGCCTGTTGTCCATGGCTGACGCCAGCCAGTACAAGCGAGCAGACGTGGGCAGGTGTCGGTTCACAGGTGTGCCCAACACCCCCACCCTGCTGCCTGTAGCAGACGAACCAGTCACCTGTGCCAAGGACACGGTGCCCATCATCGAGGACGACGCCAACTCTGTGGCCAACGCTGCTTCGTTTTTTGCCGAGATCACCAAGCTGGACCCTCGTCTGTTGAGCAACCAGTGAGACAAGTTTTAATTTGTTCATCTCCTCGTGTCAAGTTGTGACTTACGCTTTCTCTTGAAAACTAAAAAATTACAGTTTCAGGAAATTTACTTTTAGAAAAAAAACTAGTCCAATTTAAGCAGTGTACATTCTATCACAAAAAATTGATTATAATAACATGCCTGTTTTAATTTTATTAATTAGTTGTTCCAGGCAGAAAAACTAAGTAAATAAATCTCTAAACCAACACATGATATTGTTTCATGATGTTTTGATGTGTGAATTTTTCGTCCCCAGATTTACATTTGCCTATGATTTTCGCACATTTTATCCCAACGGCTTGTTTGGTTATCTGACCAATGAGGACAAAGATTTTTACCTGGGTGTCCAGTTACGGGAGGGTAAACTAGAAGTGGCTTACATACACCAAGGTCAGCGCAAGACCTTGACCTTTGAGGAGTTTATCAATGATGGAAAATGGCACTCAGTAAGTCTGCAGTATTGATCAGTTCATTTGGTGAAAATAATTGTCACTGCTTCGTTAGTAGCTTATTAAAACTTTTTATTAAGACATTTGTGTTTGGCTTAAGCTGTGATTCTTTAGTTGTGGTTTAGTAAAAAAAATATATTTATGTACACTAAAACATTAATTCTGAAAAAATTTTGTTTTTAAAATAGAAAAACAGTTGCTAAACAATTGTGTAAGCTCTTATTTTTTTTAAATGGAAAAAACTGAAACCAGATCTAAAACAATATCTGAAACTTTTGTCACTTGCAGGTCAATGTTGTGAAATCTGGCACAAGTATCACAGTAGGCTACGACAAAGTCCCAGAAAAAATTGGACCAATTGATGGAGTGCTGAACATCGCACTGCCACTCCACCTAGGTGGGCCGGCCAAAAAAGAGGAATTCACTGACAATGATATACAGCTGGTGCGTGCACGAAACAAATAATCTTTTCTAAAAATGTATTTGTATGACATGCTCTACACATCTAATTGTAGTACCATGCTGTAACAAATAGTTGCCTATGTTGTACAGCTATGATTGTTGCCTGTACACCTTGTCTTACCTGCTGCCCCCCTTGTTGCAGGTGAGCCACAGTGTGAGGGGCTGCATCAGGTCACTGAAGGTCAACAACATCCCCATCAACATCACGGACACCCAGGTCATCCAGGACGTGTCCAGCTGCTTCAGGAATGTGGAGGCTGGCATCTACTTCCCTGGTGATGCCTGGGCCATCTATGGTGGGTTGGGGGCCATCTATGGTGGGGGTTGTGGGCCATGTGTGGTGGGGTTGTGGGCCATGTGTAGGGGGGTTGTGGGCCATCTATGGTGGGGGTTGTGGGTCATCTATGGTGGAGGTTGTGGGCCATCTATGGTGGGGGTTGTGGGCCATGTGTAGGGGGGTTGTGGGCCATCTATGGTGGGTTGTTAGCTTATATAAGGGGGTTGTGGGCCATCTATGGTGGTGGTTGTGGGTCATCTATGGTGGAGGTTGTGGGCCATCTATGGTGGGGGTTGTGGGCCATCTATGGTGGGGGTTGTGGGCCATGTATGGTGGGTTGTGGGCTTATGTAGGGGGGTTGTGGGCCATCTATGGTGGTGGTTGTGGGTCATCTATGGTGGAGGTTGTGGGTCATCTATGGTGGAGGTTGTGGGCCATCTATGGTGGGGGTTGTGGGCCATGTATGGTGGGGGTTGTGGGCCATGTATGGTGGGTTGTGGGCTTATGTAGGGGGGTTGTGGGTCATCTATGGTGGGTTGTGGGCTTATGTAGGGGGGTTGTGGGTCATCTATGGTGGGTTGTGGGCTTATGTAGGGGGGTTGTGGGTCATCTATGGTGAGTTGGGTTGTGGGTCATCTATGGTGGGGGTTGTGGGCCATGTGTAGGGAGGTTGTGGGCCATCTATGGTGGTTTTACTAGTAGAAAATTTTAGCCAACACAATTTTAACATCTTTCAAACTTTTCTAGCCACTGACTTTGTTATTGAGGCTAACACAATTTTAACATCTTTCAAACTTTTCTAGCCACTGACTATGTGATTGAGGCTAACACAATTTGAACATCCTTCAAACTTTTCTAGCCACTGACTATGTGATTGAGGCTAACACAATTTTAACATCTTTCAAACTTTTCTAGCCACTGACTATGTGATTGAGGCTAACACAATTTTAACATCTTTCAAACTTTTCTAGCCACTGACTATGTGATTGAGGCTAACACAATTTTAACATCCTTCAAACTTTTCTAGCCACTGACTATGTGATTGAGGCTAACACAATTTTAACATCTTTCAAACTTTTCTAGCCACTGACTATGTGATTGAGGCTAACACAATTTTAACATCTTTCAAACTTTTCTAGCCACTGACTATGTGATTGAGGCTAACACAATTTTAACATCCTTCAAACTTTTCTAGCCACTGACTATGTGATTGAGGCTAACACAATTTTAACATCTTTCAAACTTTTCTAGCCACTGACTATGTGATTGAGGCTAACACAATTTTAACATCTTTCAAACTTTTCTAGCCACTGACTATGTGATTGAGGCTAACACAATTTTAACATCTTTCAAACTTTTCTAGCCACTGACTATGTGATTGAGGCTAACACAATTTTAACATCCTTCAAACTTTTCTAGCCACTGACTATGTGATTGAGGCTAACACAATTTTAACATCTTTCAAACTTTTCTAGCCACTGACTATGTGATTGAGGCTAACACAATTTTAACATCTTTCAAACTTTTCTAGCCACTGACTATGTGATTGAGGCTAACACAATTTTAACATCTTTCAAACTTTTCTAGCCACTGACTATGTGATTGAGGCTAACACAATTTTAACATCTTTCAAACTTTTCTAGCCACTGACTATGTGATTGAGGCTAACACAATTTTAACATCTTTCAAACTTTTCTAGCCACTGACTATGTGATTGAGGCCAACTTTGTCATCAGCTTGGAGTTTAGAACAACCAGTCAAGAGGGACTTCTGGTAACCGTCTCAGAGAAGAATGGCCGAGGGCTAACACTGGAGCTGAATGATGGCCAGGTATGTTTGTGATGGCCATGTCTATGTTATAGTGGCCAGGTTGGTTAAAGGAAGACTAAGTATATTTGTTAATGGCCATGTCTATGTTATAGTGGCCAGGTTGGTTAAAGGAAGACTAAGTATATTTGTTAATGGCCATGTCTATGTTATAGTGGCCAGGTTGGTTAAAGGAAGACTAAGTATATTTGTTAATGGCCATTTTTGCTGGATTATAGCCAGCTTTGTTGGATGATGGCCATGTTTGTCAGATGATAGCCGGGTGGGATGATGGCCATGTTTGTAGGATGTTGGACACATGTGTTGGATGAAGGTCATGTATGTAGGATGATAGTGAAGATTGTGGCCCTCATGGATTTACAAACATTTCACCTTTTTTTTTAAAAAAAATTAGTGAAAATAAAAACTAGGTTCTGATGTTTTTAGATCACTTCTTTATAATTAGTTATTGTAATGAAAACTAGGCTGTTTTTTTTTAACCGGTTACAAAATTTGTTTACAACTGTGGTGTTGTTACAACTGGTGGTGTTGTTACAACTGGTGGTGTTGTTACAACTGGTGGTGTTGTTACAACTGGTGGTGTTGTTACAACTGGTGGTGTTGTTTGTTGTTACAACTGATGGTGTTGTTACAACTGGTGGTGTTGTTACAACTGGTGGTGTTGTTACAACTGATGGTGTTGTTACAACTGATGGTGTTGTTACAACTGATGGTGTTGTTACAACTGATGGTGTTGTTACAACTGATGGTGTTGTTACAACTGGTGGTGTTGTTACAACTGGTGGTGTTGTTACAACTGGTGGTGTTGTTTGTTGTTACAACTGGTGGTGTTGTTTGTTGTTACAACTGGTGGTGTTGTTTGTTGTTACAACTGATGGTGTTGTTTGTTGTTACAACTGATGGTGTTGTTTGTTGTTACAACTGATGGTGTTGTTTGTTGTTACAACTGATGGTGTTGTTACAACTGATGGTGTTGTTACAACTGATGGTGTTGTTACAACTGATGGTGTTGTTACAACTAATGGTGTTGTTACAACTGGTGGTGTTGTTACAACTGGTGGTGTTGTTTGTTGTTACAACTGATGGTGTTGTTACAACTGGTGTTGTTCTTACAACTGGTGGTGTTGTTACAACTGATGGTGTTGTTACAACTGATGGTGTTGTTACAACTGATGGTGTTGTTACAACTGGTGTTGTTGTTTGTTGTTACAACTGATGGTGTTGTTTGTTGTTACAACTGATGGTGTTGTTTGTTGTTCAACTGATGGTGTTGTTACAACTGATGGTGTTGTTTGTTGCTACAACTGGTGGTGTTGCTACAACTGGTGGTGTTGTTACAACTGATGGTGTTGTTACAACTGATGGTGTTGTTTGTTGTTACAACTGATGGTGTTGTTTGTTGTTACAACTGATGGTGTTGTTACAACTGGTGTTGTGGTTTGTTGTTACAAATGATGGTGTTGTTTGTTGTTACAACTGATGGTGTTGTTACAACTGATGGTGTTGTTTGTTGTTACAACTGATGGTGTTGTTTGTTGTTACAACTGATGGTGTTGTTTGTTGTTACAACTGATGGTGTTGTTACAACTGGTGTTGTTGTTTGTTGTTACAACTGATGGTGTTGTTACAACTGGTGGTGTTGTTACAACTGGTGGTGTCATTACAACTGGTGGTGTTGTTACAACTGGTGGTGTTGTTACAACTGGTGGTGTTGTTACAACTAATGATGTTGTTACAACTGATGTTGTTTGTTGTTCCAGTTACGTCTAGAGTTGAAGAACAACGTCAACACCTTCACAGCTGAGACAAGCAACAGGAATGTGTACAAGTACTGCGACAAGAAGTGGCACACTGTCACAGCCAAGCTGCTCAATGGGGACTTAACTCTCAATGTAGATGGTCGACCCAGTGCAGAGGCAAAGGTCCTGGGGTCTTCTGCTATCAAAACTGGAAATCTTTTATTTATTGGGGGAATTATGGGTAAGTTTTGTCTTTTATTTATTGGGGGAATTAAGGGTAAGTTTTGTTTTTTATTTATTGTGGGAATTATGGGTAAGTTTTGTCTTTTATTTATTGTGGGAATTATGGGTAAGTTTTGTCTTTTATTTATTGGGGGAATTATGGGTAAGTTTTGTCTTTTATTTATTGGGGGAATTAAGGGTAAGTTTTGTCTCTTATTTATTTGGGGAATTATGGGTAAGTTTTGTCTTTTATTTATTGTTGGAATTATGGGTAAGTTTTGTCTTTTATTTATTGTGGGAATTAAGGGTAAGTTTTGTCTTTTATTTATTGGGGGAATGAAGGGTAAGTTTTGTCTTTTATTTATTGGGGGAGTTAAGGGTAAGGTTTATCTTTTATCTAATTCAGGAATTAAGGGTAACTTCTGTCTTTAAGTCACTGAAGGGATTAAAGTTAAGATTTGTCTTTATTTTATTGAAGAAATTAAAGTAATGCTGTTTTTTTATATATGGGGTAATTAGAAGGTAAATATTTAAAATTTTGTGATTAAGTTTAGAACCAATTAAAATATTTCCCCTAACTATTTCTTGTCTATTCTTTCGAAGTAAAAAAGAGTATTGAACTAAAACTCTGATATACAAATTAAGTAGTCAAATACATTTGAATTTGATTTTTCTATGCATTTTCCTGAATCAAGAAAAATAAATTTTGTATTTTGACAGTGGGATTCGAACAGGCAACAAGCAAACACAACGATTACTTCACTGGGTGTATAAAGAATCTAAACATCAATGGACAACAGGTGGACTGGTATGCATTGATCGGCCAACAGAACCTCAGGAAGACTGCCTGCCCTATATCTTGATAGACTAGTTATAACAATTAGTTTTTTAAATGATTGTAGCTAGGCTAGACCCAGTCGTTATTTTGATAGATTTATTAGATGGCCTGATGTAGGCCTATATCTTGATAGACCCAGTCGTTATTTTGATAGATTTATTAGATGGCCTGATGTAGGCCTATATCTTGATAGACCCAGTCATTATTTTGATAGATTTGTTAGATGGTCTGATGTATATCTCAATAGACTAGTGTTTAAAATTAGGTTTTTAATTGATCTTTTCCAGATTTTTAGGTTTATGTTTTTTATTATGTGGCAGAAATTCTCTCTTAGCAAATTCATTCACATTTACTGCATACTGTTAATGTTAATTCTGTTAATACTTACATTTTGTGTTTTGTAAAAATGAATGACAGAGTAAAGTCCTCCAAATATAGACAACTGTGCCAACACTTACCTATTTAAGATTTGCTCAATTGATTACCCTGACAAAACCCATGGTAAACAGCTGGTTATCTGGACACCAGCTGTTTTATTGGGGTATGTTGGCAAGGTTATCCATCCCACTCTGAACTATACAAAAGTTTTAGGATAACATTAACACTAAACTCATAAGGTAGTTTATTTTACTGTGTGGTTCTTGGATTATCTGGACTAAAAAGTTTAGGTGATGAAGTGGATTTAAAAGAATTTTCTAGAAGTCTAAATCAATGTGTGTTGTCTAGGTGGGTTTTTTTACACATGTGTTGAGGCATCCCAGTGTTTCACTGTTGCTTGATGTTGCTTGTATACAGCAGAAATGCTTGATGATATGTTTGTAACACTATCAGAGTTTGTGTGATGACATGATGTTTGTATCCACTACAAACATTAGTGTGATATCATGTGTGATGTCTGTGATGTCATGTTTGTATGATGTTTGTGATGTCGTGATGTTTGTGTGATGTCATGTTTGTGTGATGTCATGATGTTTGTGTGATGTCATGTTTGTGTGATGTCATGATGTTTGTGTGTGTGTGTGTCAGAGCAGGCTGCCCATTCAAGTCTGCAACAGTTTAGTCAACAAGCTTTAACTTTTCTATAGTGTCCCATGTTAGTTTGTTAGCGAGTGTTAGATATTTTACTCCATGCTATTTATAAAACAACACTGTGCTGTTATTACTGATTTTATTGTGAGCTCTGAATCATTTTTGTGCTGAGATTTTCAAGTTACTGTTAAATGATCTTCAATAGGAAGAAATAAAATGTGTAGATTCTCTAATTGAATTATCTAGTAAATAAAATGGTTGATGTATCAAAAGTTTCTAGCAAAAAAAGTTGTTGTAGCAAAGTTGTCCTCTGTTGTCTGCCTTTCAGAACCTGACACTTAATTTTGATGTTAAGCATATCTTTTGATGTAAATTTATCTGGAAACTTTGTCCATATTCTTATAATTTATATTAGCATATATTCAATAGGCTTTATCGAAGTGTGTCAGTTTACACGAAGCCGAGCCTTGAAAGGCTGGTGTTCGTGGAAAACCAATTTAATTGCAATATCTTACTGTGGTAAAGACAGCATTTCTTGTAGGGTTCAGTGGCTTCTCTGTTGTCACAAGGGTTCAATGACTGTGCTCCTGTCATCAGGGTTCACAATCCTCTACCCTTGTTGACAGGGTTCAATGAATTTTTGTTGGCGTGGTAGAATGTCAATTTGTTTTTGTCAACAATCAAAACATCTAATTAACGTTTAATTAAAAATTAATAAACAGACAGATTCTGTAAAAAACTTGAACCTCTATACTGAATCTGTCTTCACATAACAAAATGGCAACACACTAAATACCTCGTGCCTTTACCATTAACTTTTTTATAATTTCTATTATTATTGTTGTTTATTTTACCCATGTCAATAATAGAATATATTAATTACTGTAAATAGCTTTGGACTCTCCTCATTGGGAAGAAAGTTAATGTAAAATATACTTTGATTCAAATTTTTTTAGTATTTGAAAATCGTGTAAAACTAGGACTAAGGAACCAATATCTTGTTTTTCTTTAGTAAATTTATACAGAAAATTATATTTTATGATAAATGTATACAACCTTTGAAAACATAAGCCAGATTATCAACTGGTTTTTCCTCGACTTAGTAAAATATTAAAATATAAAAAAAAACTATTTGTTTTCAATAAATCTGTATTTAAATTCCACTAAATTTGTGCTTATTTACCTTATAAAATTTATGACATTATTTCATTTTTTAGTTTAGCCTAATCAATTTGATATTATCTGTTGGGGTGAAGCCTATAAAAAATGAACATGCCAATGTTTTAAACACATTTGATTATTTATATATTTAATTTGCTATAATAACTAAAAAAAATTAATTTCTGTGTTTATGAAGATTAATTTGATCCAATCAAACCATTGAGAAAAAGTTAAAAATAAAATTAATGTCATGATTTTTTTTTGGAAGAAAGGGAATATTAGCAGTTGAAGTCACAACAACACACAACAATGTGATATATCATTACATATTTATCTATTCATATCATCCATGTTGGAATGCTTTAAATATAGATTATAAATACTCTCCATGCCAAACTTACTGTTCAACAAGAAAGAGTCAACCGTAAAAAAAAATTGAGTTATCTTCCTTGAAAATGTCCATCTTAAAAATCCTTTGGCTTTAAAAAATATCGCTGACAAAAATAAATCCTGTTTGTTTTTATATCAATCTTTGGGGCTGTAATTATAATTTTGTATCAGATAACTTGGGTTCAATACACCTTTTTCTTGTGAATGATAACCTTATGTAATGTTTACATTTAAATATTCAATGTTTTATGCAGCATGTAAAATCTAATGGCACTGTCAGTTTATAATTTTAATTAATAGCTAACAATTATTTGGTGTTTTATCTAAAAATATTTATTTGAAAATTCTGACCTGTCAGAAATCTAACAATTTAATATACAGCTAATATAAGTAATTTTAGACCTTAAAAATTGTTTACTAAGAAAATGATTAGATCAATTGTAATGTGAAAATTCCTCTAGATTAATCTGCTGAAAACATGTAATGTATGCTAATTAATATTGATGAAAACATGTAATGTATGCTAATTAATATTGAAGCATAATACAGAACTTATTGCTGAACTTGTAATCCATTTATTAATAAATAACTCAGATTATTTATCAGATAATTTTGTTGGTGTTCATCTTTAAGCGATTTTTAAAACATTTCACTATATTCCTCCCACCGCCTAGGTAGTGACTGTTTGGTAGTAACGAACTGGTGACAAAATTATTCTTTTTAACCCCCCACATTTTCTATAAATGAGCTAATTTAATGTCAGTAAAAAAGAGGACAGTGTGGGCGGACGAAGGAGCTTATTGTTGCTAACTCCAAAAGTCCCGAGTTAGGACCCGGTGCTTATGAAGCTCGTTGGCTGGGGACAGCAACCGATCTTGGAGAGACAACTCCAAAATCAAACAACTGCTTCCTTGTAGTTTATTCTTGAATGGACTGAAGCCGGAGTCAAGGGGCCATATGGCGCCTAACATGTTTCCACACAGTTACAAGGGTCTCTACCATCCGAACACGACCAATTACCCGTATCACTAGCCAGCGTACTTTAAGTTTCCTGGTAGAACACCTCTAGCAGCTGTCGTGGTTAAAGTCCTTTCCATGTTTTAACGTAAGGTTAGTTGCACTATAAACTATTGAAAAATAGAGTACAGTTTCCCTTTCAAACCTGACGCTCTATGTGGCAAGTGAAGTAGAGTTCACTTGTTTCTAAGACCTCGGAATATGAAGAGATAGTGTGGTCAGCACTATGCCAATCCGCAGTTACTTTCCCTAACGTGAGTTAGGTACCCATCAGAGGCTATGTTAGTTGAATATGTGATCATGTTAAATTTTTTATAATTGTTGCCATCTACGTGGTTTGTTTTTAACAAATGTATACCTGCATGGGGGGGGGGGGGGGGACACTCCGGGTTCCAAATTAAACGTCTCGGGTTATGAACGTCTCGGGTTATGAACGTCTCGGGTTATGAACGTCTCGGGTTATGAACGTCTCGGGTTATGAACGTCTCGGGTTATGAACGTCTCGGGTTATGAACGTCTCGGGTTATGAACGTCTCGGGTTATGAACGTCTCGGGTTATGAACGTCTCGGGTTATGAACGTCTCGGGTTATGAACGTCTCGGGTTATGAACGTCTCGGGTTACGATGTATCGGGTTATGAACTTCTTGGGCTATAAACGCTGTTCGGAAATAAATTCAGTTTGCTAATTGGGTCAATACGAGTCTGTAATTCCTTACTTAAAGCCACAGTACTCACTACTAGGGCTCAAAGTTGAGTTACGAAACAGGAGCAAATAAAAGCCAAGAGGTTGAATCTAACGGTTCCCGAGAAGCCATTGTTCTGGGAATGAGGGAGTGGGGGGTGCCTGTTAAATAGGTCACTTATTCTAATTTAGATCGTGCCTGATCTTCAGGAGCAGGAAAATCGAATACCACGTGACCAAAATAAGGACGGCGGGTTCAGTGTAAGGTTTTACAATCAGGGAACGACGCTGCTGAGAGGGGGGGGGATGTGTGTAATTGATGGGGGGGTGGGAGGGGGGGAGAGGTACCATAGCAGAAGACGACGTTCCATACTCATTCCAAATTTTTCATACCATCGATCTAGCTCTGGCGGACTGGAATAAATTTAGAAAGCCAAAAGTAAGCAAAGGAAAAATTTGCCGCGAAAATTTTTTCTCGCGCAAGTAACGGCATGTGATTGCACGTTGATTGCATTTCTTGAGATATTCTTGACGTCAGGGACGTCACCGCCAGGTTAACTGGACGTCATTTCTTGATAGAAAGTAGATACGTCGTAAATTGTTTATGGGATGGGGTAAATGACCGGAGAACGGAAAAAATTTGAGACTGGTAAAAGTCTATGTTTACTATTTAAATTCTATTTCGTTCGGTTCTTTTAGAAATATTGGTAGAAATAGTCGCAATTGAGATCTACAGTTTGAACTCTAAACCAACAAAGACACCAACAAACGTGAAATAACATCAACAACACGATTTGTCAAAACATCTTACATGTGTTAAATTCACAGATAGATTCTACTCGCAGGATCAAGCATCAAAGAATTCGTCTGAATGAAAACAAGATATTTCATTTTCTCACCTGGGTGGTCACAGAATGTCATCAGACGAAATCTCAACTCGGGTTATGCCCTGGGCATCTTAAAAAAGTGATAAAATCTGAGCGTCGGAAAAAAATGTACATTTTTTCTCGCTGGGATTTCAAGGCTAACCTCATACTGATTTTTATAAAGACACGACAATTACCTCTGTGGACAAAGATCAATATTTTAAATAATTTAAGAGATTCTATTTAGAATTTTTAGACTTACCCTTTTTGAACTTATTGAAACTGATTTATATTAATTAATGAGTGAATATTTATGCATTGTATGCTTTAGGAGAGCGGGTTTATTTTTTGCATAAAGGCGCATAATTCTTGTTATAAACAACCGACATAACTGGAGTTCTCGTTCCTGTCGCTGTTCCGCTGTGCACAACGGAATATTTCATTTCTAAAAATATCTAACGGGTATTCAAATCGGCAAGTTGAAAAATAAAGGATCAATCTCTTGGACTGAAATAATATTGTGCATAGAACAGGATAGTAGTTGGATCTTTGATTGATATTTTACTTTCATTAT